AAGTCGAACTACGGAACGGTTTGCAAATACCTCAAAAATACCAAATTCCCTTTAAGGGCGTCCTTTTTGGTGAAATAGTATTACGTTTTAGTTCCGACATATTCTGCTAGTCACGTGATTTTATTTTCAACAATGGCTCACTCAGTGTTACTTTCCCGGAGTTAACTAGATCACACCCTGATTAGGATTAACACCCCGCTAGTCACCTAAATATCAATCGACCAGTAGAATTAACTATCATTTGTGTTTCCACATTTAACCACACAGAAGGTCAGTGAAAAATACATAAAACATAAGCAAAAACTTTCCAAGGCTGTCTGGGAAGACTTCACACTTTTCGTTGCCTAAAAACAAGACTGCTATGGCATCTGTGTTTAACGACAGGATATGGGTGCCCAACAGATATGACTACCGTAGTAGTTCAGATTCCTAAATATATATATCACGTGCGATCCAGCCCCTCCGGCCCCTCATACAACTTTTCAGTCATCATCGTTGAAAATGAACTTCGCTCACTTCTGAAAGGTCCTTTAGTCGTTATCCATATGAGTTCAATACTGAGACTCTAGCATTCATTATGGGTGAACCTGTATTCTACTGTTCGAAGACGAGACACTATTTCGCAGAGTTACCAATCCGACGCTTGAGCATTGCGAGTAACGTTATCGCTTCTTAGTGTGGTTCGCACCCATCTTCGAACAATCAAAATTTCATTCAGTCTGTTTCTTTCCAGAACGATTCTTTTGATGGTGAGATGAGCTTTCCGAGGTCATGACCCATCTAACAGTCACTAGGCTTTTAATCCCGAAGCACTTGATGACAAAGTCGATTTTTCTCAGGTCCCTGCGAATAAAGTGAGGTGGATCGAAGGCAGTGGTCAATGGGTGTATTGGAAAGGATGTGACGGTCTGACAGTCTATGAGAACAAAGGCGAAGGGAGGGTACACACAATGCTTTCTGGTCAAGCGAAGTTGGAAACTGGTACTGAGTTATACTTGGTTGGAGGCCAAGTGAAAGAAGGTTAGCGCTGCATGTGGAAAGACTGGATTATATTCTACGTATATAGTTTACTTTGTATTCGAGATCCTCCTTTTAACCCTAGAGACAAGTTAATAACGGCGCCTTCGTCTGGCCTGCTTGTAAGTATCATGGAAACGCATTCGGTAACACGATTTCCTTCTTCTAACTCCTTCCCGCGCATACGACTTGCTCTTATTTCGTCATGTATCTCCTTGCCAAGTACGCTGATGATAGCATCGTCTCGGGTTCCTTTCAGTGTCATATCGGGGTTGGGAATCAGTTTTAGCCCTTCTTTTAAGATCACATATCGAACCTGTCCTACGGATTCGACGTGCACTCCAAATAAAGCCATTGCTAGATATTCAACCTTGCTCGGACGGATAGCTAAGCTCATCAAACAGTCGACTAATCCGTCAAAGGGAAAGTCCATCGTTACAGCAGCCTTGAGACAGGGAGATCCTTCACTTTGCACTGTGTCCCTTCTAATGGCAGAGCACATATACTGGTCGAATATTTCTGCCATACCTCTTAGTGAAGCATGTTCAAGTACCAGGTGCTGCGAGGAATTTGCGAGAAGCAAAGACGTGTCTGAGGTTCCAGATGCGCTGAGGTTAGTCTCTGGTGGAGCAATTGTGGTACTGTGGTGCGTTGAGTTTTGAATTGTTGTATTCCGTTGAGACTCATCATTTCCAGATGTTTCTAGGATTATTCCTACGTAGAGTTAGAACCGAAAGTGGATAGGAGTGATTAAATGACTAACCATTAACTCTCAAGGACTGCAATATTCTGAGAATAGCACTGTATACTGTAGGATGAACCTGTGTCGCTGCCACTCTTTTTGCTGCATTTATTCGTTCGGACGGAGGTAGCTCATCGAATGCTTTCAAAGTAACAGATCTGTTGCTCCGTCCTTTGAAATGAATTTTGCCCTCCGTGGAGAGGAAATGCGCAACCCAAGACGTAAACCCTCCATGGTCCAAGAAAATTCGTGCTGTGGTTGCGGTTTCTGCGTCGCGTGTTTCTATGAGTTTTCTCTTCAACCTTTGCGGAGCTCTCTGTCGCGTCCATTCCGTTTCGAGATGTTGTTTGAATATACCTATCGAGCTTTCAATTATCTTTTGAGTAGGCACAAGCTGTGAGGAAGCCGATGCAATATTCTGAGCGGGCATCTGTTTAGAATACTCAAGAGCCATAGCTTGGAAATGTAGTGCAACAGGGAAGAAAGTCAGGTTATTGTGAAGGAAAACTAGCTTCTTAACTTACTGACTATTTTAGTACATTAGCGTCTTGCCATATCTGTACTGTAGTTATGTTGGTTCCACGAAAGTAAGTTAAGCAGATAAGTTACCACGGTTCTTACAGGCGACTGGTTGGATAAGGCTCACTCGTGCGGCACACCTGCAGTGACTAGTGGGCCGTCAGTCATAGAATACCAATCCTCTTCAAATATTGGAATTCAAAAGGATGGGAAGAGACATAGATCGATGTGATTTAGGCTAGTAGAGGGATGATAAATCAACTGAGCCATTGCACTTTTCATACAAAGTGGATGAGGCCAAAGGATATAAGATATCTGGGACACCTGCAGTCAGATTCAAACAATACATTAGCTTCTGTACGGAAGAAAAGCTTCATAATGGATGATCAATCAATCGACTCTTTGAACGTGTCTCTCTCTATTCCTATTGCGATACTGGGGTTGATGAAAACAATCTCTTTCCTTTTCACCAAAGGGTTGTGCCAGAGCTGGAATTTCGTTCTCTCAATGCTCTCCCTTACTGCAAGCGTTTCCATTTTAGTTTTCACTATTAGGGGCACCACGTTTGAATGTGGCGACCTCTCCGTTCCTATTTTTCATCTTCCATTGGGGATATCCACGATCTTTCCTAGTGTATTTGAGGTAAGTCTCATCGGATAACTAGTATTTATAGCAAAGCTGACAGTTTAGATAATTATGTACCGACGCTTGTTATCTCAGAACAGTGCAAAGCTGCTTTGCTTATTATATGGCAGTTTCTCTTCTGCAACGAAGATACTCCTTTTGCTCCTCATTCCTTTGCTGCATTCGTGGCTGTACAAGTTGCTCACCGTTGCTTTTGCTCTCGATTACCTGTTCCTTGCTACTATTTGCTATGCAATTTCGCGCCGAGCTCCAATAGGTGGGCTATCACAAGTGGTATTAGTCCGAAGAGCATTAGACTTTATAGGTGTCACACTATGTGCCTTTGTATTCGCTGCATTTGGCATAATACATGTATCAACCTGGGCAACCCTTAATGAAGTAATGTGCTTGCCATCCTGATATCTTCATTCATAGTCCTCTGACTTCTACTCGCGACAGGTACTGGTTATTCTCACCACCGGATTTATTTGTTACGCTCAACCCATCATCAGACAACAATCCGACCTATCAAGGAGAGGGTGTATCAGCAAAGAAAGTGCGCCATAATCTTCAAGATAGACAGGCATGTGTTCTGTATGATGCCTTTAATTAGTTGGGGACAATATCTTCGGTTAATCGTGTGTCAAATTATACGGATTCCTGTCCTTCGCAAATTGTCTGTGCATGATATCGGGCATGGCCTGGGAATACGGGAAAATATATAAACTACCTAATGGGCGAAAGGTTTCGGGTATGAACGCGCTCATTATCATGTGCCTAGTCTGTTTCTTCATAGCAAGTTGTCCATGTGACATTTCTCCCAGGAGATTCAACTCATGCTTTCTATCCATTTAAGAATCATCAGATCATTGTTCAAAATATGCTCACTGAAATGGTGCGGCTAAGATATATAGTCAGATACTCCAAATGCAAATCGAAAGAACCTCCATCAGGAACGATTGATCCCACGCATTCCAATCATCCATAGTCATCAAAGCGCCAGACTTGGTATATTGTTATATTTGATCAAACTATTCGTTTTACTTCAAAGTGAAGGCTTTTACCCTAGCCCTTCTCATTGAAGATAACACAGTAATATGGTCTCTGGGATCACTATCGCTAGAATGGGCTCCTTGAATGATTTACGCCTCTTTGCTCCTCTCGTATGCCCTCAACGCCATGCTTTTCTGGGCGGATTACTGGTATTAACTACGTAATAATAAAAATCCTAGTCACCAGAATCGTCGTCTCCCCTCCTGTAAATCTGTCTCGCCTGGGATTCTACAGACGAAAGTCTGCGTACTGGGCGAATCGCAAAAGATGTTGCGGCCTCAAAAGGTAATTAACACGTCACAAAACGAGATAGACAACTTGCGGCAGCGTCTCGAGGAAGCTGAAATCGGGATTAAAGAAGGAAAACAACAACAACAACAACAACAACAACAACAACGTCAGGAAGAACCCATATCCCGCAAGACTGCCCAGATTCCGCTCGCTTTCTGCGAGCAATTCGGAGAGTCTGAAACTAACCATCGGACCGCGAAAGAAGTTACTTGAAGGCAAAACACCGATAAACGATTCTGTTTTGAGAGCAGAGAATCCAACTACCAATACAAAGCAGATCATATTACAACCTTAAAGTAAATCCAAACCAGCCACACCATTTGCAGTACATTCCACGTAGTTCAAGGCTCCACATCTCCCTCACAAACAGCAGGTCCTCATTGATATCCTACATTAGACTGCATAAATGGAGGAACTCTTTCAGTTCTTGGGCTTTCGAGTTTGCGATGCAGTTCCAGCCGCTTTCATCAGCTCTTCTTCAGCTGGCGAAGGAAGTTTGACTTCATCCAAACTACCGCTACTAGGCTGCAATCCTCTAGACTTCTGTGATGCTGTGCCGCGTTCTTTCATCTCCTCCGCTTGGTCCTTGGAAATGTCCATATTGAATTTGGTTTCTTCGCGAGACATGGTTGCAAGGATGGAGCGACAATAGCTATGTAAATTATTAGATCCTATTAGAAGTCAAAAACAGAGACCAATCGACATACTATTGATTGTTCAGTAGTTATGAACTCAGGAAAACTGGGTGTAGAGGTTGTATGCCTTAATGATAATAGCCAGAGCCCTAACTTGCAGCTTGATGCAGCGCTTTGATTCTGGGAGAGGTAGTAAAAAGAAATTAAAACGGGATTTATGTAAGAAAAAGAGATGGTCTCTCATGAACAAAGAAAAAATGGATATCTCTGGCCTTTTATAACTGACTCCTATACAGCTTGCCTTAATCCCAAAAGAGAACTATGTACTCTTTCGCTGGATACAAGAAATGATTGGGTATGGGCTTTTGTCTCTTCCTTCCCCTCCTTTGACATAAAACACTTGCATATGTGCATTGCCGCCAATTTCAGAGGAGATTGTGACAGGGATGGGCGGCAAAGAGTTCTGATTGCACGGAAATATTGACTTTGTATGGATTAAAAATAGATGAGAAGAAGCTAAAAGAATTTTTGCGGCACAGCCATCTCAAAAGTGAGAGGTCAGCAAACAATCTGAAATAAGTATGTGCCACAGAGTTCCATGTGCATAATAATACAGAAGGTCTTGACATGTCAAATAATCACCTGTCAATTTGTGAATGTGAGTGGGACGTGTAATTGTATGTATTGTGTGTAGCCTATCTAAGGGAAGAAAACTCGGACACAGGTGCCGATACAAAATAGCTTAAACAGGGTTCTCGGCGAGGAAAGTCATGCACCAATGAGGCCTGAGATATGCCTTGTAGTGGGTTTTTATAATGCCTATTCCACATCCAGAATAGCCGTAATATAATACAGACACAATTTCACTCATTAAGACACAAGGGGAAAGTGGGCGCGTAGTGGCTGGAGCTTAGAGGCACGCTAGTGAGATCGGTAGACTCAAACCTCTCCGTGCCGGCTACTACACTTGAACTCCCATGTTTCCACTTCGAAGTTCACTGTCGCTTTTTAAAGTCCGCCGCCGCGACAGAAAATATCAAGAATATAAATGACTGACCTAAACGACCTTCGTCCGAATCGACAATCACAAAACCATCTTCTGGATGACTATTGAATATTCACCATGGCTTCAGACTTGATCAAAATACCAAAATGTATGGATTATGATGATCTTGCATGGGAGAGATGCGAGAATCTATTTGAACCTTGGAAGAACAAAATTTTCGATCGGGAAGTACTTCGAGAAATCGGAGCAACTATAGATAAGTATCGGGGAGGTGTCCCTGATGAACTTTTTGCTCCTAAAAGGGGAGCCTTTAATACTTGGATTCGAATGAAATTCAAAGATGGGGGTTCAGCGGTAATCAGGTTTCCATGCCCTGGCGCTTCGGTATTTCCAGAAGAAAAAGTCAAGCGTGAAATAGCTGTGATGCGGTTCCTTGAGCATTTTACCAACATTCGTGTGCCTCACATCTTACACTCTGGAATGACTGCGGAAAGTCCATGTGGTCTAGGGCCATTTATTATCATGGAATATATTGATCATGACTATGACTTCATTGATGCTCTTAACATACCTGGTCGTTCGCGCCAAGAGAGGCCAATTCTGAACCCGGACATTTCATCAGAAAGACTCGAACTGGTTTATCGTCAAATGGCCGATATTTTACTACAGTTATCTAGTCATTGTTTCTCAGAAATTGGCTGTATTTCTAAAGCCAATGAAGATGATGAATTTGATGACAAATGGGTGGTAAAACACCGCCCACTGACGTTTGATATGAACGAATTGGTCCAACTTGGAGGCTTTCCAGCAAAGTTGCTTCCCCAGCATCCATTTACAACCGCCTCATCATATTATGAGTCCCTTGCTGAAATGCATCTAGCTCATTTGTCTTCTCAGCGAAACGACGCAATTGAGTCTGCTGAAGATTGCCGACAAAAGTACATTGCGAGGTGTCTATTTCGCAAGATCACCCGCGAATATCAGCTTTGCGGAGACGACTCAGGGCCATTCAAGCTTTTTTGCGACGACTTTCGACCGGGAAATGTCCTTGCAAATGCGGAATTTCAGATGACAGGGGCACTTGACTGGGAATTTACGTATGCTGCACCGACGGGCTTTGCGTACAGCCCGCCATTTTGGCTAATCCTTGAGCTTCCAGAACATTGGGCCAATGGCTTGGATGACTGGATACAAAACTACGAAAAAGTCCTGCCGGTGTTTTTGAGAATACTGAGGGAGAGAGAGCAGGCCGCTATCGATCGACATATACTTAAGGACACCGATCGCTTATCAGAGCGTATGCTGAAAAGCTGGGAAACAGGTGATTTTTGGCTGAACTATGCAGCTAGAAAGAGCTGGGCATTTGATATGATATACTGGGCTAAAATAGACCGGAGATTCTTTGGTGATGGAAATCTGGAAGATCGTCTGCAGCTTTTGACCCAAGAAGAAAGGGACAATATGGATGCTTTCATTCAGAGAAAGTTGAGGGAGAAGAAAGAACGCATTTACATTGGTGAGTGATTGGCAAATCGTGAAGTTGCGGTGGATAATTATTCAGTGGGAGTCGCGATAATGTAGTAGTGTATATAATGCAATATCTGTTTCTACGGCTTGTAGAAAAGGATATCTAAAGCAACTTCTTTACCTTCTCCAGCTGAGGTATGCCCTCAAACCCCATGCTTTTCTAGGCGGATTACACTGGTATTAACTACGTAATCATAAAAATCCTAGTTACCAGAACCGTCATTTCCCCTCCTGAGATAACGACTAAAGGATTGTTCACAGTAATAGACTTATCTACACATCCTTCAACTTGGTCGACCAATACACCTGAATCAACCCTGCCGTCCTCCCGGGAAACTGTTCCGTAAAGCGCTTCACCACATCCGGCCATGGCAACTTCCTAGTTCCTTTAGTCCGGGCTTTGTTCAATGAGGGCGTCGAAGTAATTGAAAATCCAGCCATGCACTGTGAAAGCGCACCCTCGAATAGCCAGGAAAGAAACTCTAAACGGCCGTCCATAGGCGCTCTCAAGAAATGAGAATAAAGCGTAGGAAGGAGGGCCGTGTTCACATTCTCACTTGGCGTGGTGCGGGTGCAAACTCTTTTGGATGGCTGTCCTAGACCGTACTCTGGTGCGGTCTGTTTCTTATTGAATGATAGCTCTTGGCTACTGTCACCGCAAGTGGATTGCAACATGGATGCCGTGCTAGTTTCTAGTTTGGTTGTATGAGGACGCGAAAGATAAGTCTGTTGATCAAGAGGATCGTAAAAGGGAGCAGCTCTCGGACTGTACTCTGTTGTCTAGGCTGAGGATCGGAAGTGCTTGCAAAGTGGCCCCGTATAAAGACTGATTTTTGTGACAGCTCATCGGGGGATATGGCACCGCTAACACCACTGTCTTGTCGGTTGTATGTCAATGTGCAAAGCGTCTCGTCGCCGAGAATCGCTGGGTCGATTGGAATGATTGTTTCCGATCTGGTGGGATATGATATAGAGCCATAATCAGTTACACAGTGTGGTGTGGTTTCAGTGTTTGGGTAGTAATCGAGGACTGAGACCCAGCTAGTGGAAAGATCAGTGTCATCCAGATCGGGATGGGGTGATGACTGAGGCAGTGACGGAGACTGCTCTTGTGATTCCAGTATACTAGGCGTCGGATCCAACACCGTCGTGACATGAGATCCCGCAGAAGAACTAGAAGGTCCCTTAGGAGCCTGTGCATAACGGGTGTGAGAGAGTCTGGAAGAAGACTATGGCAGGCGTGGGTGTGCACACGCCTCCACTACTGGACAGGCCGGAAGTGGGTGAACAAAGACCTGAGCACGGGTATGGGAACGTGTCCTGGTAAATGAAATTTATGCATTTGGAGAAGAAGGGCAAGCAGAAGAAAGGAGGAATTTAGTGATGGATGTTGGAATTGGGTATCGCGAGGCAGTCTTTTGATGGTGCAGAGATGAGGCTTTCCTGTTATGTCTCTCATAGGGCCGGAAATTATCCACGTGAAATCGAGAGTTGGCCATGTTCACGGTCAAAATCTTGAGCCTCGTTTTTAATGAGCAGGAACTGAGGAGAGTCGCATGTGCGGGAATCAATCACCTTTATGTCGAGAGAGGCTGAGAAGTACTATATCAACTGAGAGGACCAGAGTCACCTTGGTTCCGATCTTCTAGCCTAAGACAGCGTTACGCACCGATTTCCAAGACTACTCACCTTCCTTGTACATATAATTTGATGGAGTCGTGATTCGACAGCCCCTGTTGAATTTCCCATTCTGCCAATAGAAAGGCTCAGCAACTGAGTATAACCTGGATCATGCCTTCTGGATGAGTCTATACGGCCCTTATAGCGTGTTCAAAACTCGAATCTAACACCGCCATCGTCTGATCTCATTACCAGTGTGGATCAGAATGAAAGCCACCTTATTGACGCTAGCGCTGCAATGGGTTGTGATGCGACGATGATACATGCTCAATTTTTGGCAATGTAGGACCTTAAATTGGAAAGACAGGCCGGTGTGAGCTTCAGCCCCGCGCGATGCATGTTTGCCATTGGCTGCTACGTCGAGAGCATTGTCCTTGAAAGAAAGGAAACCCATTATCAACCGAAAACTGACTCTTGTTAATGTCATAAGGTCACAAGATCGGAAAGCGCGATCCCTGTAAGTTAGGCGAAAGATTCCTGTTGTTGCGTATTGTCAGACGCATTATTTTCGAAGTAGGATCAGTACAACGCTCTCCAGCGCAGTGTTGAAATAACATATTTGTATACCTCTTTTGTTGTTCTCTCCGTCTTGCGTTCCCTCTTTTTCCTTTTTTCCTGAGTCGTTCGGTTCACGAATTCAGTCCTAGAATCCTGGCGAGGCTGAAGTGATCCTAGGCAGCGGTATTGTTCAACAGACAAGAGCAGCGATTACATCGTCCTCGTTCTTGCTCCACTAGGAGCCGAAATACGGCTGTCGATGGCAGTCTCGAAATTCAGAGTCGCCAAATATGGTTGGACTGGAGTCCAATCATCTGCGCTGTCCAGGCTCGGTGGCAGCGATTCTGGAGGAGCTGAGACATCACTGACGTGGCTGGCGCGAGGTCCATGCGATGCTGTGCCGTTTAGCCGCTGGTGTAACGGAAAATGAAATTGAGAAAAATGAAGAGAGAAAGGAGACGACAAGGTGAAATCGGTCAAGGGACGCACCTGGGTTTATATAGACATCGCGGACTGACGCTCGGGCCCGCTATTCCCAAACGGGACAGGCTGGCGCCGCTAGACTTAGTCGAGTAGTATCATTCCCCGAATCAACAGGCGGTGGCCGGCGGCAGGGGAACGGGTGGCCAGGAGCGGTTTTCAGCGCCCGCTTGCCGTCTGTTAGAATACTACCCTGGGCGATTCAAATCGCATAATGTTCAAATTAAATTCAAAGCATAAGCCATCTTAAAGTTTGGATCTGTGTAGAATGTTGACATAGATCTGTTTGAATGTAGACATATTTTATCCTAGATCCGTTCAACTGTGGATCCATTCAACTATAGATCCCGTCAACTGTGCCTGTTTGACTGTGGGCCTGTTCAAATGCGGATCTATTTAAAGTAGGCAATCCTTCCAGGGGTTTGAAAAACATATTTACTTATTGAACTGAAAGATTGACTACAGTATTACGTATATACTTTGTAAACTAGATAATACGTCGTCGCAAGAGTAGCTATGCTATGTGCTTATCAATACAAGTGAGGTCTCCCCAAACTTGGTCAGGGACTATGGACATGTGGTTATACAGGTGACATTTTAGGTTCTAAAGGACAAAAGTTCCTTTAGGCCAACAGTTTAACTTATTAAGTAGCTTATGGGTAATTTTCGGTAGTCTTGCTCTAATTGAGAGGTACAGTACTACTGCCTTCTATTTCATATCTAGTTCTTTTTTTCCCCTTTTAACCCCGCAATTTAGGCATTGCTTCGTTGTTCCGCGCCCTCGGTTTTGTACCAGTGGCCAATCAACATCACTTGTCATGCAGAAAGACAAAATTTTTTCCTTAATCTTGCTTTGTTGTCAGTGTGTTTGCATTACTGTAGTCAACATACACCTCACATCAAGAGCTTTTCTGGTGTTTAAATCTGGTCTTTTCCTTTTCCCATTTACCGCCCCAAGCACAAATTTCCTCTTACATCGTTCAAACTCCACGGATTTGATGAAGCATGACGTCTTATAGAGACTGCCTTCATTTCTCAAAGTATTCTGGTCTTTCTATTCGAACCGCGAGTGTGCTGACATAGACATAGGATGTTTAAAGTTCCCACAATCCAAGCTATTGCTGGGCATGAGAGGACCGCTTACAGTTGATTGCAAAACCAGTGCGCGCTTCTACATACTGTGATTGTTTAACTTGTTTCACCCTAACCTATATCCGGGAAAGCTCCGGATTAACCATATTCCAAAAGTTTCACTGTATCGTATCTTACTGTAAGAATAACATGACGTCACTTGAAATCCCAATACAGTAGAAAACAGTCCATGGTTCGTTTACTGGAACCTTCCATGCAAGCCAGGGGTGTAGCCAGCTGTCCACATCCTGGTTCCCTTCGTGTTCCTGACTTATCATCTACGTTGGCACTTAACGGCCTTATTTTGAGTTGTGCAGGACGCAACTAGGTGGAGAACCGCTGAATCATGACTCTGCTCATCATTCTTCTCGGCTTGTTGGCACCACCTTTCCTATGCTAGTGATTTGAATGAGTGTTCTACTAATGTCAGATTCGTGAAACAATAGGTTGATTGGCGGCATATTTTGCCTTGACGAGAGGGGTTTTGTTTCTTTAAACAATGAACGTGCTTCTCAAGCAGAAACTTGGGAACAGACTTCGTTTTATGCCCCTACCCCGGGTAATCTTGACCGCTATACGCCATCTGTTTATTGTCCTTCCCCAAGCCGTCTAAACGCTGAACGCTCATCCTCATTGCCTCGACCGGGCCGTTTAGGCTATTACGATGAAGCTAGCAGTGGTAATCTGCAGTCGTGTGATGACCATACACAAACGTATATCAACTATCCGATCGAGTGGAGGGTACTTCTCAACAACCGCGGCGTAGCTAGAGATACTGAAGAAGATCTGGTCTTGAAACCCTCTTCATACTGGCAACAAATAAAGGAGAAGGCCGATCAAGCTGTGCGCCAGCGCCTGAGGAAGGCAAGCAATCGACGTGTACGGTCAGATGAGACCACTATTGTGGTTTCTGTAAACGACCGTTCCGAACGTGACCTTACCAAGCGCTTTGAAACTGATCATATTGATTGGACAGCTATAGATAGGCAACTTCTAAAGTGGGAACCACTGTTCCGCAAGGGAAGAAAGCTGAGACTTTCTATAACCATCAGGTATCTAGAGGATAGGAATCCTTCTCCACCCGGCAGAACTGACAAAAGAGGGTCTTCATCAACAACTAACCGAATGCTCCGTGATTTGGAAGATCAAATTGACGCCGAAGAGTCCTCAGGGCAGCCGTCGTTTTGGAGAGACGTCTATAAGAAAATGCGTTGTCCAGGACCACCTTGTCATCATGAAGGACAGTACTGCTGGCAGGATCCAGTGAGTAAAAAGCATTACAGATTGAGAACGCATCACTTGCGTAGCCTCGTCAAATTTGTGGAAAATAATGGTGTTCTTAACACCCATGATGACGTTCCTGAGGCCATTCGAGAGCAGCTATTTGCTGAAGAACGACAACAAATTGATCACCGACAGAAAACTCTTAATCTTCCTGCAAATTCATCAGGGCTTCCTCCTATCAATATAAATGTCCTCCCGACAATGTCATCCCAGCCCTTGTTGTCTTGCTCATACAGCGATCAATCGAGATCTTCTAGAATTGAACAGGCTCGCTCGTTCAAGATACCCGAGTCCTTTGAGGAAGCACTCGAAAATTATGCCAATTGGCATCTTGGACGAGTGAGTACCGTCAACTCCAGGGAAAATATTATCCGAGCGCGCGACATTGCGCTGGAAAAGTGTCTTGATCTGCAGCAGATCTTCATTGATAATGACCCAGACTCTTTATCAGGGGTCGCGATTGGTATGGCCCGTAGGTTCGCTAACGACATTCCGCTGTGGCTTAAGGATCGGGAGCACAGGAACGATATGGAGGAGCCTGAGAACGAGTGAAATTAGATTCTTTCCTTGACATAATTGGTAGATCGCCGCCTTCGCAGGCAATCAATCCATTCATTGATTCTGTAGCAACTTTCTTTAAATTTAAAAGGTTATTCGAATGGGCTAACCTAGAATCGGCGGGAAGATCTGCGCCATTGGAAAACGAAGTGGGACTATCCGTGTTATTTGAGGATTTGAGTTGCGAACACGTGGAGCTTTAATCTCCGATTCCCGACCCGAATTTTCGAATATCGCCGTTGTCACGTGACACCACCTGACTGTTGGAGCTCGGTTACGCTAGGATGGATACGGAATATAGGCAAATAATAAGAAGTTAGAGTTGAGAATTTCTATGTATTGATGCACACTCTCTAATACAAAACTTGTCAGGAATGTTGACCTCTTTTATATGTGAGGTCCTGTACAAACTAGATCATGAGATGACATCCAGTCGAACCTTCTAGATATAGCCATATAGAGCTGATTGGATGTCTATATCTCGTCAGTATGTGAACCTAGTTCTCGAAATTTCTTCATGTTAGTAGTATGATGGATTCCCAATTAGGGATAGCGTATTGCGTTCCAACACACCCCCCCAGGAAGGAAAGCTTGAAGCTTTTATTCCTGCAGTAAATGTGCTATATCCACTAATCCCTGGTGTTTTCTCCAATTCACAAAGATCTGGCCCTTGAGCAACTTTGTAAGGCCATCTGCAACCATTCTCTTGGTGTCGACCCATTGAATATGAAGTCGCTTGCTCTGAATCTCTTGGCGGAGCCAGTGGTGATAGATGTTGATATGGCGTAGACTTGTGTGAAAATTGGGTTCTGGACTCGTCAGTAGGCGTATGGTTTGAGTATTGTCACATTGAATAGATAGTTCATGCTCTAGCTTGAAGCCGATTGCTTCAAAGACACGTTTCCAGATATACAATCGCTTTGCGGCTTCAGTTGCTGCTCTTAGTTCTGCTTTGGTGGTAGAGGTTGTTACATATCTTTGTTTTGTAGCCTTCCAGTCGACGGGTCCGTTGTACAGCTGAACAAGATAACCCTCTGAGCTTGTACAATCGATGTTATCTCTAAATGAAGCATCTGAGGCACATACAACAACGTCTGATTCTGACTTCCTTAGTGGTGAGTATTCGATAGCAAGGAATCTTGTATTGAATAGATATTGTATCACTCGTTTGATCTGCTGTATGTGGATAGGTGACGGATTGGTGGCATGTTTAGCAAGCTCGTTGACAGCCTTTGCAATATCGATTCGTGTCATGACAGCGGCGTACATGACTGACCCAACCATTTCCTGATAATGGTGAATATCTTGATTCGTTGCTTCCCCATCAAAAGGCTTGATATCGACTGATATTGGTGTTTTGACTAGGCCGTGGGTTAATCCAAATTTCTCAGCTATTTTTGTGATGTAGGAGTCTTGACAAATCCAAATTTTCCGCTGTTCTCTATCTCGTAAAATTCGCATGTTGAGAAACCATTCAAACTTGTCCATTTTTCTGAGTTCGTATGTTGCCATCAAGGTCTTCTCAATTTTTTCGAATTCCGCTTGTTTTGTGGCTTTGTCGTAGAATATCAAAATGTCGTCAACAAAAAATAATAGAAATATGCCGTTTTTGACTAATAGACATTCTTTATCTGGTATCTGTTCGAATCCGAGTGTTTTCATCAAGGTTTTTGTGAATTCTTTCTGCCAAAGCCGTGGACTGCGTCGTAATCCGTACAGTGCTTTCTTGAGTTGAATAGCCATGCCAGGAATCTTGAAGCCGTTCGGAAACTCGGTATATACCTCTTCGTCAAGGTTGCTATTCACAAATGCGTTGACAGCGTCATATTGTGCTATCTCTAAGTCGAATACAGCTGCCAGAGATATCATCATCCTGAAGATTCGTGCTGCCAACGTTGCCGCTCGTGTTTCCAAATTATTGTCATATTGCAGATCACCGCGTACACAAATCCGTGCTTTGAACTTGGAAATCTTGCCAAATTTGTCAAATTTGTATTTGAAAACCCATGTTAGCGGTAACACTTGTTTATCATAGGGTTTTTGGACAAACTTGAACGTTCCTTTCTTCTTCAGTGTGTCAAATTCGGTTTTTGCAGCTTCAATGAACTCCTTTTTGTATTTGTGCCGTAGAACGCCAGTCCAGTTCTTGGGTTCTGGTGGGAGCTCAGATTCGTGAAGGTTGTTGGTTTTTTCCATAGCGGCCATGAAGGACTTGGCTAGTGAGGACTCTTGGAATAGCTTCATTCTTGCGAATGCAGCTCGTTGCTTCTTTCTCACATTTTTGCTGGATTCTGAATTATCAGTTGCTGGGCTTCGAGCTCTTTTTGAAGCTATTCGCACTCTTGGACCTGTCACGATATTCCTTTCTGATAAATCGGCACTGATTTCTGCTGCTTTGGGTGCGTTATTGTTGTTTGAGGGTGTAGGAGGCGGGGTAATCTCCTTCTCAGATCCCGTGACATTTCTTAATGGAGTGTTTGGCGCGCTCTGATTGGTCAGTGGAGGTGTTGGCAAGTCGTGATTTCCTATTTGGGGAATCTGTTCTTCCGGATTTTTAGTTATTCCACTTTCCCCTATATAGCTTCGATCAGTTTCTTCCTTTCTCACCACGACTTCGTCCTCTTTCACCCCCCCAGATTCCACAATATTGGAATCGCCACGATTTTCAGTGCGAATATCTTAAAAGATTTCTTGGGCATCCTCCATTTGCACGTCAGGATCGTATATATGTTCGTCGTTTTATGCTTCAATATTTCCAATTCCAGTAATTGGTGCCTCGATTTGAACTGGAGTTTCGGTATCTGGCTGATTCGAACATTCATTTGACCCCCTCGCTGGTGAGAACCTTATACTGGCGGGTTGCCAACGTTGAAGCCTCATGTCATCATCAACTGAATCAAACACTTGATTGTCCTTGTCAATATCTTCAAGGTTTAAAATTTCTAATGATTCTGTTATCGTTGTCACACTATCTCTGATGATTTCCCTAGCGAATGGATGTTCTGGGTCATATCTCTTCGTTTCGTCAAAAACAACGTCTCGTGCTCGAATGACCTTCGTTCCCCGTGGACCTGTCGTCCAAATGAGCCAAATATTGTGAGCTTCATATCCCACTAGATATCCAATCTGCGCTCGTGGAGCTACTTTGTGGCTTTTCTTTGTGTCGATCCGTACGTAAGTCTTTGATCCGAATAAAAACAGATTTCCAACATATGGTTTCTTCCCATACACTGACTCATATAGCGTTTTATAGTTCAAGGATTTCGTTGGTGTTCGGTTCATGATATGAACGGCTGCTCTGGCTGCCTCTGGCCATAACCCTTCAGGTAGGTTGGCTTCAATAATCATGCTCCTTGCCCTGGTGGCAATGATATCCCCAGCTTTCTCGCTTAGGCCGTTCTGCTCAGGCGTATCAGGAACTGTCGTGACTAACGTCTTTCTTTTCCTTTTGCAATAGTCCTTGAAGTCGTTGCCATTGATTGAGCTTTCGCCGTCCACATGTATAGTCTCAATAACACACTTGAAGGTATGTTCGATATCCTCAATCAGTCTTTCTAGGTCGAAATTGACTGATTTCGTTGTGGTGGTGACTAATACGTGGAATTTAGTTAACGGATCCACTGCATGGAGGATATATCTGTCAAAATTCCGTGCCAAGTTCATGACAATGATGTCAACGAATATCTTTTGAAATGGCCTTGTTGGTAGCGGCATCGCTACCCTGCTGATTTGACGTTTGGCCGTGGTAAGTTCGCAGGTTTCACATTTGATTTTGAATCCCTCGTTATTGTGGCTTGGAACTGACATAACAATAGCTCCCTCTGTTGCTTCTTGGAGTTTCTCAATAGCTCTGGATGATACGTGTCCGAATCTTTTATGCCACACATTCATCGGATCTTTGAGTATGTTTTTCTCCATGGAATTGAAGGCAAAGTCGACGCTAAGCGAACTGCGTGCTGGCTTGTTCTCGTCCCATTCGATAAGGTAAAGATTTCCTTCTCGTCGAATATGACACAATTCCTGACTGTTCTTTTCCAATAGTTGTTTTCGGGTGTCATAATATATACCATGGTCCTCCATAATCCCTTGTGATACGATATTGGTATGAAAGCCTTCAACGTACTAGGCGTCACGGACGATAATACCCTTTCGCTTAACCTTTTCACTGATCGGTTGTGTGGGATATACTATTGTTTCTCCAGGTCCAGTCATTTTGATTCTTGTGTTTCCAACAAGCAGCCACCTGGATTCGTTGCCTAAATTTCGGAGCCTTCTTCGATCGTTGAAAATATGAGTTGTTGTACCGTTATCCATTATGACTTTGTTTGTGAGGTCGTCGTTCGAGGCTAATAATGCCGTATCCAATCTGACAGCACATGCAATCTCATCGGAATCATACATGAAATTCGATCTTTCCGAATCCTTATCTGTTTTCTTGCTGGTGTCGGAATCTCGCTCTTTCTTTTTCTTTTCCAGTCCTTTCTTAACCCGTTTCAAGGCGTTGGCATATGGGGTGTCCTTTTTCTCAAGATTCTTGAACTTTTCCTCAATACTGATGTCTGATTCCCAGTCCTTAGGTCGTTTTGCTGGGTTCACGTATGGGCAGTCCTCAAATTGGTGCTTCTGGCCGCAGAGACATGTTTTGTCCTTCGATTTTGATCTCATCTGACTTTTCTTGTTGTCTTCAGGCTGATCTGACTTTCCGTTGAGAGTTGCCATAGCGATATCGCGTCTGTGACTTGATTCCAACTTATTATTGGCTTCAACCCACTTGTCGAATGTTCCTATGATCTCGTTAATATCTGGAATCTCCGTTAAGCCTGATGTGTCTAATCCCATGTCGTATTCGAGGATTCTTGTGCTCCAGATGTCGTGAAACTTGGGCGCAATCTCTGCAGTGGATTGGATGAAGTCTCGTGCCAATCTTGTGTCTGACAACTCATAGAAATTGGCAAGCTTCATATCCAGTACGAGGGTTCTCCATTTTTCCGCCCATTCCTTCGGTCTTTGAGTGCGTTTCGGATTAAGAAGACTTCGTTCTCGGCTCAAGAGCAGGTCGTTCTCTCGTTGTTCTGTAAGGGCAAACCGTCTCTTCAAAGTTCGGATTATTTCCTTAATATCTTCCATTTGCCGGATTTCTGACTGGTGGCCAAGTTCGACTGTATCAAGGATATAGTTCTTGACGTTTGTCATTCGCTCTATATGCTTCTCATATCGAGCCTTATTGTGTTCGTAAATCCGTCGTTGCGAATCATGAGCCGCCATGTCAGCTTGCCAGTTCATCAGCTTGAATTGCTTAATAGCAATATCTTCATCGCTGGATAGGTCTGGCTTAGAAGGTTGAATGGGCTCTATTGGTTTTGTTGGCGCTGGCTCCAAGTCCCCAGTATTGATGGTACTTGGATTCATATATTCCCAGACTTGTTCCTTTGTCGCCTTTGTTCTCAGTTGTTCCATCCATTTTCTCCAATCGTCCGAGGTTTTCAGGATCACAGTCGTCTTTTTCTCGTCCATGGCTAAGCGATTCAGACAGAGCTTGGGCTGTTCCCAAAGGTTTGGATTCGATTGATATACTTTGATAACCGGCTTTTGGATATAGAGGATTGTGGGCAGTTTCTGAATATCTATCTCACAGCAATCCCGGGCTCATAACTGTTGGAGCTCGGTTACGCTAGGATGGATACGGAATATAGGCAAATAATAAGAAGTTAGAGTTGAGAATTTCTATGTATTGATGCACACTCTCTAATACAAAACTTGTCAGGAATGTTGACCTCTTTTATATGTGAGGTCCTGTACAAACTAGATCATGAGATGACATCCAGTCGAACCTTCTAGATATAGCCATATAGAGCTGATTGGATGTCTATATCTCGTCAGTATGTGAACCTAGTTCTCGAAATTTCTTCATGTTAGTAGTATGATGGATTCCCAATTAGGGATAGCGTATTGCGTTCCAACACTGACAGTGGTGTTGGAATATTTGCCCTATTTGGGCTTAGCGGCCCAGGCTATGGGCGTATATAGACCCGGCTACATAGGCTTAGCGTCGCCCAAACCCCGCTTTCGTGCCTGAGATCCAACCAACTTTTCCAGGGAGTACAAGAAAGAATCGTATACCATCCCTTCACCTGTGTGCCATTGCTCTCACGATTTGATTATTAGGAACTTCTATCAACTACCCGGCTTACTGTACTGATGTACCCCCCCGATCTCCCATCAGATTACGCAGCTAATGACTAACTCAGTTTCTAACGACGCGGCCTAGTCAAGACATAAACTGCTACCCCTCTGATTTTGCAGTACACATGACTCAAGTCGATCAGACTTTTTTTTTTCCTATTGACAAAATGAAATTCACTAATAGAGACTACACGGTCGCATGGATCTGCGCCTTGCCGCTGGAATTGAGGGCTGCAAAGTCTGTGCTCGATGAAGTTCATCCATCTCTGCCTCAAGTAAACTCCGACCATAATAATTACACACTTGGCAAAATTAGCGGTCATAATGTCGCATTGGCTTGCTTGCCATCTGGTGTCTACGGAAAAGTATCCGCTTCGGCTGTGGTATCACAGATGCTTTCCACGTTTCCGGAGATTCGGTTTGGCTTGATGGTTGGCATTGGAGGCGGAGTTCCCAGTACTGGGGTTGATGTTCGCCTTGGCGATGTTGTGATCAGCAAGCCAACAGGCCACGAAAGCGGTGTTGTCCAACATGATTATGGCAAAATTCCCCGTGATGGAAATTTCCAGCAAAATGGCTCCCTTAATAAGCCTCGTCCCATTTTGTTAACCGCTTTGTCTCAAATGGAGAGCGACAGTATATCACGAAGACGCCAGGTTAGAGACATAATCAATGCAGTACAGACTGAATATGAATACGGACAAGAATATATCCGACCAATGGATGACGGGTTATTCAGAGCTACATATGACCATACAGATGAGACACAAGATTGTTCTACATGTGACCAGAACCAACTAGTAGACCGTGATCCTCGAGAAACCAGCATGCCTGATTTTCATTACGGTTTAATTGGTTCTGGTGATCAGGTTATGAAGAATGCCAAAATTCGGGACTCTATTGGGAAACAGTGGAATTTGCTCTGTTTTGAAATGGAAGCTGCTGGCTTTATGGATCAACTCCAGCCTCTCGTGATCCGAGGGATATGTGACTATTGCGACTCCCATAAAAATAAAAAGTGGCAAGCGTATGCAGCCCTTGCTGCTGCTGCGTATGCTAAAGTGGTCCTATCAGAAATTCCTGCACCTCCAATTATTAGCAGTAAGATATCTTGATCCTTTTATCAGAATTGGTATACAGGATGCTGCTAACCGATGAGCTAGTTGATGTCAAATTGCAGGAATACTATGAGATGGATAATCGTCTGAGGATTAAGCGCCTCTCTGGAGATTTTCTGGATATGGAGCAATGCTACATCAATCTTTCTATTATAGAATACCAACATAAGAACCACGATATAAAGTTGCCAGCAGCACAGCCATCCTCGGGGTTTTCACTGCTCAATCGCCTAAAAATAACAGCAGATAGCCCTGAAAGGGAAGTCACGCTTCCAAACCTATTTCATGACCGAAAACTTCCGGATGGCCGAATGATCCAGCCCAGACGGATTTTAATTCGAGGACGTGCGGGTGTTGGGAAAACAACACTGTGCAAAAAGATTGTGCATGACTTTTACCACCAACAGATGTGGGCTGGCCTTTTCGATCGTGTTATATGGATACCTTTGCGAAGGCTCAAGGGGATGTCGTGCCTGGATGAATTTTTCCGCCGGGACTACTTTTCTTTTCAAGCTGAGCGTGACAGTTTAGTTTCCAAACTCTGGAAAACGGTTTTTGATCCAAGCCATAAAAGAACTCTCTGGTTATTGGACGGCCTTGATGAAATATCAGCATATCGCAATATTTCCGGTACTGACATGACTGAAATATTCAACCACCTATTAAGTCAAGCTAATGTGGTCATTACTTCCCGTTCATATGCTGTGAATATTTCTGGTCTTGCTCCTTTCGACCTAGAACTAGAGACAGTAGGATTTCATCCACGTCAGGTGCAGATCTACTTGGCCAAAACTATGAAGGATCCAGATATTACAGATCAGATCCATTCTTTTATTCGGAGTCACTGGCTAATCCAGGGACTTGTTCGAATACCAATCCAGCTTGATGCATTATGCTATAGTTGGAATAAGAACAACTTCCATTCTGATGCTTCACCACAAACTATGACAGAAATATACCAGGCCATTGAATTAAAGTTATGGCAAAAAGATATCTTGAACTTGGAGAATACAAGACAGTTAAGTGAAACCGCGGTCCAGAATCTACGAAAACGCTGGCAGATTCAGTCGGAGGTGGAGACGGAGATGAAATTCCTAGAATGTCTTGCCTTTACAGGGTTATACAGTGATATTATTGAATTTCATCAAGATCATCGGGATTGGCTCTATGAACAATCGCAATTTTACCAGATGTCAGATAATGTCCTTGACCGACTCTCCTTTCTGCGCACATCAGATACTACAAGCCAGGACCGGAGTTATCATTTTATACATCTTACTTTCCAGGAATTTTTCGCTGCTCAGCATTTCGTCCGGTGTTTGATATCCGAATCCAGCGAACCACTTCTCTCTCTCAAGCTCGACCGCTTGCGGGGAAAATGTACCATGAAACTATCACCAGAGGAATTTCTCCAGAAAAACAAGTACAGTGGACACTATGATGTATTCTAAAGGTTTGTCACAGGGCTGCTGTATAATATTGATGAAGAGCAAGTAAGCTCATTCCTTCAAAAAATCGAGAAGGAGCCACGAGATTTACTTGGCCCAGCACACCAGCGACTGCTTATGCACTGCTTCAGCGAGCTACCTCAGCCAGAAGATTCGGAACTGGCAGGGAACAGCAATGATTTCTTACGACGTCTTCGAGAAAAAATGGAACTTGGATGTATACAATGGTTTGATTATGAGAACAAATGCCTTCAAGAAATGCGCCTCTGCGCTGAGATTGAATTTCCAGATCATGTCCTGTGCGAATTACTTGAGAAGAACTTCTTGCAAAGGAGAAGATCCCACAGAGAAAAGATTCTAAGAGCATTAGCCCATCGTTGGCATATGTCGTCCAAGCTCATGGGTATAACCGCAAACTTTATGGACGACAGCGACTCGGACGTGAGGTGGGCGGCCATTGATGCCTTACGCACACAATCTCCCTTGCCACTCAGGATCCTCCAGGCGGTCACGTGTCGATTAGACGACAGCAATATGTACGTGAGGTGGTTGGCTATTAGTACCTTAGGCAAGCAATCTCCCTGGCCACTCGAAATCCTCCAGGCAGTTATGTACCGATTAGATGATAGTGACACAGACGTGAGGGAGGCAGCCATTGATGCCTTAGGCACCCAATCTCTCTGGCCACTTGAGATCCTCCAGGCAGTTATGAGCCAAATGGATGATAGCGACCCGGGCGTGAGGCGGGCAGCTATTAATGCCTTAGGCACACAATCTCCCTTGCCACTCAAGATCCTCCAGGCAGTTATATGCCGATTAGATGACAGCGACCTAGGCGTGAGGCGGGCAGCCGTTGATGCCTTAGGCATACAATCTCCCTTGCCGCTGGAGACCCTCCAGGCGGTCACGTGCCGATTAGATGACAGCGACCCAGGCGTGAGGCGGGCAGCCGTTGATGCCTTAGGCACACAATCTCCGTGGCCGCTCGAGATCATCCAGGCGGTCACATGCCGATTAGATGACAGCAATAGGGACGTGAGGTGGGCAGCTGTTGGTGCCTTAGGCAAACATTTTCCCTGGCCGCCCAAGATCCTCCAGGCGGTCATGGGCCGATTAGACGACAGCGACCCGTGCGCGAGGCAGGTAGCCGTTGAGGCCTTAGGCAATCAATCGCTCTGGCCACTCGAGATCCTCCAGGCGGTCATGGGCCGATTAGACGACAGTAATAGGGACGTGAGGTGGACGGCCATTAATGCCTTAGGCACCCTATCTCCCTGGCCGCTGGAGACCCTCCAGGCGGTCACGTGCCGATTAGATGACAGCGACCCAGGCGTGAGGCGGGCAGCCGTTGATGCCTTAGGCGTACAATCTCCCTTGCCGCTCGAGATCATCCAGGCAGTCACATGCCGATTAGACGACAGCAATAGTGACGTGAGGCGGGCAGCCGTTGGTGCCTTAGGCACGCAATCTCCCTGGCCGCTCGAGATCATCCAGGCGGTTACGTGCCGATTAGATGACAGCGACCTAGGCGTGAGGTGGCAAGCTGTTAATGCCCTAGGCACGCAATCTCCCTTGCCGCTGGAGATCCTCCAGGCGGTGATGGGCCGATTAGACGACAGCAATGGGGGCGTGAGGCAGGCAGCCGTTCATGCCTTAGGCAAACATTCTCCCTGGCCTCCCGAGATCCTCCAGGGGGCCATGGGGCGATTAGATGATAGAGACTGGCAAGTCGCGTCCGGACTAGAAGCTCTCTTGTGGAAACATGATGATTTCCTTTCTCCTTTCCTACATTTGCATGCTGATGCTGTCTCGGCATTGTGCAGAATTTGGATCCTAAGAAGTATACATGAGACCTTTGTCTGCTATGTGTGTGATGAAAACATTTATTTTGAGATACCGGACGGGAAAAGGTCATTCCTTTTATCTAAGGAGAAAATCCAGCAGCTCAAGCATACACTGTGGGTCGCTACCCTCAATAGCCCGATATTGCGTTTGGTTTACGGAGATGGGATTCCGTTTACCGCATTGAGAAATTAATCAAATTCTATTCTATTATATTTTCTGCTATCTTTAGCAAAGGAGGGTCGGGGAGAGCAGCAGTGCTAAATTTATGCTAACACAATGTTGCCACCATTGCATAAATGACGTCGATAAACTTGCATCACATCTTTTCAATTGCCAGGCCAGAGTTCCGGAAATGTCCTTCTGCACTTTGCTCCCTTCTACCCACAGTATCAATGCACCATTCTAGGAATGTATCGAATCCTTGGTCAGGGTTGTCGGCGTAAGTTTGCCAATGACGCTTGATGAAGGCTTTTAGCTCAGCAAAGAGCTCTTCAATTGGGTTCAAATCTGGAGAGTACGGGGGCAAATATACAAGTTTGACTCCGGCTTTTGAACACATCGTCTCGATATTTTTGGAATGGTGAAATGAAGCATTATCCATAACGATAACCGACTTCGGTTCTGGCCATTTCCCACAATGATGAAGCAGCTCCTCAATGAAGTTTTCGAAGAATGAAGCGTCCGTGGAGCCTTTGAAGACGTAATACATGATAACTCCATCCTGGGCATAGGCTGGGAGAATTTGATAACGTTGATCGCGATGAAATTTGGTTACCTGAGCTGGCGCTACGCCAAGAGGTGACCATCCTGTCCTTCTGAAGCCTGCTCTCTTGTCACATCCTGATTCATCCACATATACTAGGTGATATGATCGAAAATCAGATATCAAATGCATATATCCGTCCCGTAAATCAGCATTTCTCTGGCTAGCTTTTTGTTTGGAAGTCTTTTTGGACCAGCCTTCCCGTTTGAGAGCACGACTAATATCCCACGTTTTCACTTGTACGCCGAAGTCGTCCCATATAAAGATTGCCATCTCATCCAGATATAACTGAGGCTTTTCGAGCAGGTGATCACAAAGAGCCTCGATCATTACCGGCGTAAGACGGCGCGGGCGCCCACTTTTATTTGAAGGCGCTGTCACGCTACCAAACAGGCGTAAGTTGGAACGATGTCGTCTGATTGTACTTGGATGGCACTGGGCAGCTTCGGCGATCTGGGAGGTAGTGAGTTCATTACTCAGAATCATATCTCGTGTAAACTCTCGAGTTGATACTGCTAGTCTTGGCGCCATTTGGATCTCGTACTGTGGTTTTCTATCAAAAGGATGATTAAAGTTGTATGGATCTTCCGGAGGATCTGCCGCTAGTGGAAGCGTGCTCACGTGGGGTAACATCTGTATTACGAATACACAACCTCCTCTATTCTAAGTCACGAAACTTTCCATACTGTCTCAATACCTGGATCTGAGACAGGGGCTCGGAAAAATTCACAAATATGGACTAGCGCAATCCTGGCTACAGGGGTTCAGAAACAATCTAAGTGTGTAGAAGCGCGCACTGGTTTTGCAATCAACTGTATAATATATAAAATCCATTATTTATCCATACCCGAGGGACCCCTAGATGACTTTACCATGGCTGAAAAGGTTACACCAAAGGTGTTCATGCAAGAAGCAGGGTTCGGAACGGTACACTCGGAAGCAAAACCGGTGTCGGGGTCTTACTCTCTTTGATTGTTCCTGAAACCAAGTGCCAAGCAAGTCTAGACTACTTTTAGCTTAGCTTAAACTCTTATGTATTTCACCATGTCATGTATGGTATTGTACCGTACTTGTATACATATATTCAAATTTCAAGTGCCTGTTGCCAGAATATGAGTGACACTGATTTTCGCATTGGCGTCATAAACGACTCGTAAATAGGTCATGTAGGTTGGGAAAATAGTCGGAATCTTACAGAGACTGACGCAAGATTGATTCTGGATAAGCCTGGGCCACTTCTGAACCGCATAGAGTATTCAACTATTCATTATCATTTGATACTAGATTCACTTTGTTATACAGCCTCATTGGCTACTGGTATATCAATACCTAAGACTTCAGTCTGCCAACAAATCAATGCCGCAGCGGATGACAGAGTATTAGGGTGCTCAACTCCTAGAACTTTTGACTGTAGGTATACACAGTCCTTCATTAGGTTAAGGGCTTCCACATCGCGGCCCTGCTCTTTCCAAGTAAAGGCTAGGTTGGCCATGCTGGTCAGCGTGTCAGGATGCTCCGCACCAAGTACCCTCTTCCTCGTCTCCATCACCTGCACTTCCAGCTCTTCCGCCTCTTTCCATCGTCCTTGATTCCAGTACGTCGACGCCAGGTTGGCCATGCTGGTCAGCGTGTTAAGATGCTCCGCACCCAGCACCCTCTTTGTTGTCTCCACCACCTGCACAAAAAGCTCTTCCGCCTCTTTCCATCGTCCTTGATTCCTGTACGTTGACGCCAGGTTGGCCATGCTGGTCAGCGTGTTAGGATGCTCCGCACCCAGCACCCTCTTTGTTGTCTCCATCACCTGCACTTCCAGCTCTTCCGCCTCTTTCCATCGTCCTTGATTCCAGTACGTCGACGCCAGGTTGCCCATGCTGGTCAGCGTGTCAGGATGCTCTGCACCCAGCACCATCTTCCTCGCCTCCATCACCTGCACCTCTAGCTCTTCTGCCTCTTTCAATCGCCCCTGATTCCTGTACGTCGACGCCAGGTTGGCCATGCTGGTCAGCGTGTCAGGATGCTCCGCACCCAGCACCCTCTTCCTCGTCTCCATCACCTGCACTTCCAGCTCTTCCGCCTCTTTCCATTGTCCTTGATTCCTGTACGTCGACGCCAGGTTGGCCATGCTGGTCAGCGTGTCAGGATGCTCTGCACCCAGCACCATCTTCCTCGTCTCCATCACCTGCACTTCCAGCTCTTCCGCCTCTTTCCATCGTCCTTGATTCCTGTACGTTGACGCCAGGTTGGCCATGCTGGTCAGCGTGTCAGGATGCTCCGCACCCAGCACCCTCTTTGTTGTCTCCACCACCTGCACTTCCAGCTCTTCCGCCTCTTTCCATCGTCCTTGATTCCTGTACGTCGATGCCAGGTTGCCCATGCTGGTCAGTGTGTTAGGATGCTCCGCACCTAGCACCCTCTTTGTTGTCTCCACCACCTGCACTTCCAGCTCTTCCGCCTCTTTCCATCGTCCTTGATTCCTGTACGTCGACGCCAGGTTGGCCATGCTGATAAGCGTGTCAGGATGCTCCGCACCCAGTACCCTCTTCCTCGTCTCCATCACCTGCACAAACAGCTCTTCCGCCTCTTTCCATCGTCCTTGATTCCAGTACGTTGACGCCAGGTTGGCCATGCTGGTCAGCGTGTCAGGATGCTCCGCACCCAGCACCCTCTTCCTCGTTTCCATCACCTGCACAAACAGCTCTTCCGCTTCTTCCCATCGACCTTGAAGCAAGTTTATCAATCCTACAAGTTCCATACTGCTTAACGTCTTTTCATGTTCTGGACCTAGGTACCTCTTCCAAGTCTTCATTGCTCTGACTGACAGCTTTGCTCCCTCACCACCATTACCATTTCTCCAGTCATACCATGCAGCCTTATACAGCACCGAAGCCCATTCAATTAAAGCGTCCCGGCCTTCCGGCTGTAGCTTTGCGGCGGACTTCGCATGCGGGAACAGTATCTGGCATTGTTCCCAGTTCTCATACTCTCCACTAGGTAACTCCGCATTCAAATTCCGGATATATTCCGACTGCCACCTTTCCAGCTCGCCATTTGCTGCCAGCCATGTTCGTGTTGCAACCTGCACCAGGTTGTGCATACTGAAGGCCGTTCGGTCTATGTTCATTGAGATCAAGGAGTACCTCCGTAACATGAGAATATCATCATTGAACTTATCCGTCACGCTAGACAGTGCTTCACTGTCGTGATCGTCGTCACTATGAGTTTCTTCCACGTCTCCGCCACTATGGTTGTAGAGGAGAGCCTTGGGAATTCCTTGGCGGTCGAAGAAACTCATCAACGACAATAGATCAGCCGCGGATCGTCGGCTTTCGCGGATGCTCTCAAATGAGATCTGCCATGTGATCAGGACTTTGTTCTCAGCCTCGCGATCTCGACGAAACTGGCCCTCCTCATGGTCTAACAGACGGATCTTCTTGCGATCATTCTTCTGGAACTCGTTAACATATTGTCGTACCGAACAGCCCCGATCTGGGTCGGAAATATATGCCGCCGCTTGGACGATCGCGAGTGGGATGAAATTCAATGCTGCTGCTAGTTCTGCAACATCCTGGCTATCGTGCTGTTGCTCATCCTGCTTTCCCAGCTTCGTCTCGAACAGTGCTTGTGCCTGTGTACCATCCATCGGCTCCACTGAAATAATGTCGTGCTGGTTCACTAGTTTTAATGCAGCCTCCCTGTTTCGTGATGTTATCAAAATAGATCCGTTTGGGCTTTGGGGAAGATAATCTCGCAGTGATCGATCTGCTCTGCTAGTTTCATAACCAGCCTGATCCTGTATATTATCAGAGCGGTTGATGAGGAAATGAGCATTATCAACGTTGTCAAGTATAAGAATCCACTTTCTATTCTTGTTATCTCGTAGCCAGTCATGTACAAGCTTGAAGATGTTAGACTTGGGGTCTCGCCACCCAAAGAGCTTGATAGTTTCGGCAAGCTCTTCATAGCTCTGCTTAAACCGGGCGGCGTTACTCGCATGGATCCAAAAAATCCACGTTTCCGGCTCTCGCTCGTGGATTCGGTATGCATATTCAATCGCGAGTTGTGACTTGCTGCACACCAAGTTAGCGGCGACCAGGAAAGCACATGCTCTTTACCCACCCAACACCACCCAAACCTACCAGCGCCGTCCTGGATCCTGGTGTAGCACATCGGTCCTGGAGCTGATTCAGGATCGTCGCACGGTCGATGAAATCCGGATCGCGGAGAAATGGGATCGAAAGGGATGGAGCGGCTGGAGTCTCAGGACGTTCTACGCAACCAGTTTCTTGTTAGCACCGTCCGAGAATGGTGGAGTAACAGGAACGGGAACTTGCCCGTCGCATGGTAGTGGTGGGTCTCGACATTCCCAGCGATATAGCCCGCTTGGAATCCGTGGTTGTGCGCACCCGAGAAGGTCGCGTTATATCCGGCAAGAGCCATGCTACTCCTTATAAAGTTAGAGGCTATATCTCATCGAGAATCGGCTCTTTACCGTCGGGATGGATGTTCCTTTTGAAGTCGAACGTGCGCTCGCATTCTAAGTATAGTTTTGCTCTGGCGCTCGGACACAATAGGATGGGGTGTGGTGTGGACTGGCCTATGATTGCCATTGGCTGATTTGATTCGGAACCCCTACCATGGATAACAATTGGCTCGGACGGCGAATGAGAAAATCCGGACCCGAATCCGGTGCCGCATGACTCAGACGGTTCTGTTGGATTATTACTAATCCGTGGGGGCAGATTCGGCAATGATTCCTAGCTTTGCTACGTGGAAAGTGTTCGTATTGGAAGTAGAATTAACAAGCAAAAATTGTATGTCTTCCCCCCTTCCCTCTTTCTAAGAATTGAGGGTGATTCTATGTCTTTATATATTCCAATGCGGTCTCAGAGAAGTAAGGGAAATAACAACAGGAATTTCAGCTAAGGCAAAGCGAAGAATCCGAGTCACAAACATGAAACTATACAGGTTTGACCACTGTAGTTGATTGGTATCAAGGGGCATTTTGGCGATGTGCACTTTCTTAATTAGGGTCAGAGGTATCGTCCTGTCGACACCTAGTTATCTAACAGGTTCCTCCCGGTAGATCACGTCGATCATCCTTGCTCACCCTACCAGCAGCGATATGGCACCCAATCTTGCCGCATCAACCCTGGAGTTCATCAGCGACATGATCCGCAGTAGCGAGCTAACTGAGTCCCAGATGGCTGAAGCTGCAGGCTGTAGCGAACGGACGAGCACAAGGCTGCGCTCGAATCTCCGTTCGTTTGGTAGTGTGAAAGCCCCTCTGAACAAAGGCGGAAGGCCACGAAGTCTTCCGCCGTACATGGTTCAAACCCTTTGTGACTATCTTCTCGAGAAACCTCACTTATACCTTGACGAGATGGCAGTTTATCTCTGGGATGAATTTGAAACACAGGTGACAACATGCAGCATTAGGCGTGCACTGAAATATGCTGGTTGGTCAAAGAAGAAAGCTAAGCAGAAGGCAAGGGAACGAAATCTCAACTTGCGTGATGAATATTTCTACTTCATTCCAGACTTTTCTTCAGACCAACTGGTCTTTGTAGATGAATCGGGATGTGATAAGCAGATCGGCTGCCGAAGGACAGGCTGGTCTCCGCTTGGCATCACACCAGTCCAAGTTACCAAGTTTCATCGTGATCAGCGACATCATATCCTTCCCGCCTATGCTCAAGACGGAATTGTTCTATCTCGTGTCTTTCAAGGATCTACTGACGCCTCTCTTTTCGAGGATTTTATCGAGCAACTTCTTCATCATTGCGGAAGATGGCCGGGACCCAAATCTGTTCTTGTCATGGACAACGCCTCCTTTCATCACTCAGATAAGATAAGTCAGATGTGCTCTTAGGCCGGAGTCCAACTTGTATACCTGCCACCTTATTCCCAAGATCTGAATCCCATTGAAGAGTTCTTTTCAGAGTTGAAAGTTTTTATTCGGCGGCACTGGCAATCCTATGAAGACAACCCTGATCAAGGATTTGATGGCTTCCTTGAGTGGTGTGTGGAAACCGTGGGTGGAAGGAAACAAAGTGCAGAAGGGCATTTTCGCAATGCTGGTCTGACAATAGGAGAGGTATGACACAGCCAGCAAAGCGTTTGATTTAGACCGTGTTGGTATCGCATTTGAGAAGATGCAAAAGGCTCTACATTGCTATTATTGCAAGGACAAACATCATACAGTAGCACGCTTGCGTCTCGATCTGTGTAGTGACTTCGTTCGAGCAGCGGCCCACTTAGTACAATAATTTATCATATGACTGTAGACCTTAGACAGCGATTCATTGCTCCTAAACTCATCCTATGACTTGTATTCAACACGGTGATGCAGGTGACTCCTTCTGAGACCCTATCTTGTCTAAATGATGTCTTATCAATCCCAGATATCCCGGGCTGCAATAAGTTCTTTTTGCTTACGATCCTCAATCCAAAGCAGGACGTCATTAACAAACCTCCGAGCAGCACCAATCTTCACACCCTGTTCGTAGAAATATCCCGGATTCTTATCAGTGCAAATCTGCTTCAGGTCCAGGCAATTTTCGAACGCGATATCCCGTGCTTTCTTGATGTTATGGATGAATTGTTCAGTTTCCACTCGCGATAGCTGCCACTCAGTATATTCCTCCAGTGCTGCCTCCAATGGACCGGGAATGTCAATGACCTCTGTGGGTGTAGATCTTAAAGTTACCTCCATGTCATTTGCTGTAGAGACAGAGTGTTGAGGAGTCAGGAGGACATTGATGTTGATTGGCGGTAACACTGCCGCACTTGTAGAAAGACCGGAGGATCTCTGTTGCTTTTCAGCTCGCTGCTGCTCTTCTGCATACAGCTGGTCGCGGACACTGTCAGGGATATCATCGTGGGTCTCGATAATCCCGCCTTGCTCTATATACTTGATGAGGGTCTTCAGGTGATGCGTTCTGAGTCGGTAATGCTTTTTCCCGATGGGATCCTGCCAGCAGTACTGCCCCTCATGGTGGCATGGAGGCCCAGGACAACGCATCGTCTTATATACATTGCGCCACACCGATGGCTGGCCAGCGAAGTCTTCAGCATCCATGCGGTCTTCTCGCTCGTTGAGCATCCGCTTGGTTGTCGATGAACTATTTCGTTTGTCAATTCTTGGTTCATTGCTGTCCTCTATGTAGTTGATAGAAATGGAAAGCCTGAGCCCTTTGCCCTGGCGGATCAGTGTTTACCACATCAGGAACTGCCTCTCTATAGCTGTCCAATCAATGTCAGTACTTTCGAAACGCTTAGTAAGGTCACGATGTGACCGATCGTTAATAGACATCACAATCTCGATATCATCCAGGCGTACCCGATGATTACGGGGCTTTTTCTGACGGAGAACGCGTTCGGCTTTTTCTTTGATCTGTTGCCAGTATGAACTGGGTTTTAAAGATAGGTCTTGCTCGGTGTCCCTCGCCAGGCCGCGATTGTTCAGTTTTACTTTCCATTTGATCACATAGTTTATACATGATGCATATGCGTCATGTGCTCCCCCACCAAAGCAGTCATCTTCGTTCAGAAAGCCAAGCTGACTGAGCGTCGGTCGGCGTGACGATGTCAACGGTTCGTTATGTCTATGGTTGGGGGAAGAGGAGTACACGGATGGCGTACGTTCGTGTTCGATATTACCAGGGGTTGGAGCGTACCACGGGGTTTGTTCCCATGTCCTATCTTGAGAGTCAACATTGCGGTTAGGAGCATTGTACACCGTCTCCTCCAGGCAGTAGATGCCTGTGAGGAGCCTAATGTAAAGATGGCTAGTGTTAGTTTTAGTTTTCACACAAGCAATCTAAGGAGAAATTGATGCTGACAAACTAAGAAGAACAACAAATAGGGCCATTATCTCATGTATTATTACTTAGTTTGATGCATAAACCACAACAAACACCTGCAGTCAAGTCACAGAATTTGTTGCGTCTGCCAGGCACCCATCCTGGTTGTTTGCCTTGTTTGCATGGAACTTTCCCGTCTGTTCTAGAAGCAGTACAAAAACAACGCATGACATCATTTTATTTCAGTGTCCCCACAGTATAAGCATCCAGATCTACGTACAGAGTAGTAATAATTATCTTATTCATGTACCTCTGAGAGTATCAGTGATTTGACTCATTCAGGTATAGCGCATCGTCCTATTAAGATTTGTGGCAGAATCTCAGCGCGGTATCCACCGTCTTTGCAACCAAGTGGGACAAAATAGGCCCCGCTACCCTTAGTTGCTTTTGCCATTTGAACTCCAAGTGATTAGACCCGCGCTATAGCCGATCTGCATGCCACTATTGTGGCTACCTGTGAATGTTGCGCTATATATGTCGCGGCTGTGCTGATCTTGGGTCATAGTGCGCAATTGTGATGAGACAACTCCTGATACAGTTTAATCACTCTCTAGAAGATGTGATTGCTCTTTAACTTCTTTTATTGCAAGAGTTTGTTGTGCGCCGTTATCATCCTCGTCCTCTGGTTCCTCTTGAAGTTCTTCCTGGCGCTTCAAGGCATCTTTGTGCTGCCTGCTTATGAGGGTAATATGTTCCTGTATTGCTTTCTCTAGGTTCTGCAATCAGGTGTTTAATTCATCGCGATTGATCTTCGAATTATGCTCTGAGTGGAGCTGAACAAGTCTTCTAGAGTATCAGTATATAATCAAAAGCGGAATTTGCAAGGGTCATACAGTTGGGTACTTTCAATGGCAAACTGAACGATAGCCTGGCAAGATTAGACGTGTGTTCTAAAGGTACGGATCTTTTCCCGATTCCATACGCCAACGGAAAGGCGATCTCAAAGAGAAAGCTTGGAATTGTTAGAATGTCTTGTCCATTGCTGAAGTCTCCATGTGAAGTTGGCACACGCTTGGCCGCATCGATTCACAGCCTCTGCGACCCTAGTATTTTCCAGATCGGATTTGGCTTCGGCATATACCGCATAGTCAGAAATTGTGAGTTGCTCTAGGGCGGTAAGAGGGCGCTGGATGGCCTCCAAGTTTGAAGCGATGTCTTGGGCCACTTCTTTAGCATCAGCGAGGCTACTAATCAGATCACGGAGGTGGTCGATGCTGGATAGAGCAAAACCTGTAATGCCAAGGGTGCCAACAGTAATGCTGAAGGGATCCATGTTTTTCGGAATTACAAGGTGAAGAAATAGCGGATAAAGGATATAGAGAATATTGGGTGGATTCTAAAGGTTTTACATAGAGGCGGGCGAGCTTTTCCGACGACATAGCGGGGCACTCTACAATGGGGATTCCATGTAGATCTGAATTGAATATCTGTAGACCAGCCAAGACTGTCGGGTTCACATCTGAAAGTTGTTATTGGGCGCTTCTCACAAGAAGCCAGCCAATGGAAACCTGAATAGCTGATCGCACTCCACCCTTCCGCCCAGAAGTGTCATTGGTGGGACTGTAACTAGCTTAAAATACATGAGAACGTCCGTGCAGAAGGAACATCCACCCCGAATGGCAAAGAGATGAGATACAGCTCCCACCTCATGAATAGCATCATGGCTTCCGCCGAGTATAATGCCTCTTTCTCGGGCGCGCACAACTATGGACTACAAGCTGGCTATATTGCCGGGAACGTTCACTACTACCCCACAGGCAAGTTACCGTCACTCCACCATGGTAGAGCTGGCTAAGAATAGACTGGCTACGTAGAACGTCCTGAGACTCCTCCCGCGCCGTCCCTTTCAATCCCATTTCTCCGCGATCCGGATTTCATCGACCGAGCAACAATCCTGAATCAGCTCCACGACCGGTGTGCTACACCAGGGTCCAAGACAGCGCTGGTAGGCCTGGGTGGTGTTAGGTTTATAAAGAGCATATGCACTTTCCCGGTCACTCTAACTTGGAGTGCAGAAAATCACAGCTTGTAATTGAATATGCATACCGGATCCACGAGCAGGAACCAGATACGTGGGTTTTTTGGATCTATGCCAGTAATGTCGACCGATTTGAGCAGAGCTACCAGAAGATCGCCGATCATGTCAAGCTCTTTGGGCGGCGGGACCCGAAGGCAAACATCTTCAAGCTTGTGCATGACTGGCTACGGGATCTGAAAAAACAGAAAGTGGATACTGATACTTGATAATGTTGACAATGCTTATTTCCTTATTAACCGACCCAATAATATGCAATATCAGGCTAGGCGTGAAATCACCGGAGCGGATCGCCCACTGCGAGAGTATCTTCCACGAAGCCCTGACGGATCTCTTCTAATAACATCGCGGAGCAGGGAGGCCGCACTGAAGCTGGTGGACCAGCATAATATTATTGGAGTCGAGCCGATGGATGAGGCAAATGCTAAAGCGCTACTTGAGAAGAAGCTGGGAATTAACGATGAGGACCAGGACGAAAGCCAGGATGTTGTAGAGCTTACAGCAATATTGGGTTTCATTCCGCTTGCAATTGTCCAAGCCGCGGCATATATCTCCGACCCAGATTGGGGTTGTTCAGTGCGAGAGTATCTCAGTGAGTTTTGGAAATGCGATGGCAAGAAGATCCATTTATTAGACTTTGTAGATGGCCAATTCCGTCGAGATTGGGAGACTAAGAACTCTGTTCTTATGACATGGCAGGTCTCGTTTAACAGCATACGCCAAAGCCGACGATCAGCGACCGACTTGCTGTCGCTGATGAGCTTCTTCGACTGCCAAGGAATTCCCGAGACTCTTCTCCACAATTATAGACTGAAAGATGCCAAAGACACTCAGAGAGAAGATGATTACAATAATGGGTCTAGCGAGACTGACGATTTCTTGGATGATATTCTCATACTGCGGAGGTACTCCTTGATTGCTATCAATGTAGATCGAACTCTCTTCAATATGCACAAGCTGGTGCAGCTCGCAACACGAAGATGACTGGAAGCGAATGGCGAACTAGAGAAGTGGAAGCGGCAGTATATCAAGAAGCTCAATTCTAAACTCCCGACCGGGGAGTTTGAAAATTGAGCACAGTGGCAAGTACTTTTCCCGCATGCCAAGTCAGCTCTTACGTGCAAGCCAGAAGATCCAAGCTCGTTACTAGAGTGGGCGTCTGTGTTGCATAAGGCTGCGTGGTATGACTGGCAAAGCGGAAATGGGGCCGCAGGAGAGCAGCTGTCAATTAGAGCGATGAACATTCGAAAGAAGCTGCTCGGTCCAGAACATGAAGACACTCTGAGTAGTATGGAAATAGTGGGGTTGATATATATGCTTAAAGGTCAAGGGGAGAAGGCGGAACAGCTTTTCATGAGAGTGATGGGAAAAAGGAAGGAAGTGCTAGGTGTAGAGCATCCTGAAACGTTGACCAGCATGGCTAATTTGGCATCGACATACTGGATTCAAGGTCGCTGGAAAGAGGCTGAAGAGCTGGATGTGCAGGTCATGGACACTAGAAAGGCCGTGTTTGGCAAAGAGCATCCTGATACGCTGTCCAGCATATCCAATCTGGCGTCGACGTACATGACTCAAGGGCGATTGAAGGAGGCTGAAGACCTACATGTGCAGGCATTGGTAACGAGAAAGAACATGCTAGGGACGGAACATCCTGAAACGCTGAGCAGCATGGCCAACCTAGCATCTATCTACAGGGATCAAGGCCAATTAGATAAGGATCTAAACCGAGGGATGGAAGTGATAAGAATAAGTTTAGAAGTGCTAGGTGCTGAGCATCCTGAGACATTGACCAACATTAGCAATTTGGCGTTAACATACAAATATCAAGGCCGATGGAAAGAGGCCGAAGAGTTGAATGTGCAGGTGATGGAGATCAGTGCAAAAGTACTGGGTGACGAGCATCCCGACACGTTGACCAGCATGGCCAACTTGGCATCGACATACTGTGATCAAGGGCGATGGGATGAGGCAGAAAAGCTTGAGGTGAATGTATTAAAGACAAGTCAAAGGGTGCTTGGTGCAAAGCATCCAAAGACGCTAACAAGCATGGGTAATTTGGCATTAACATACACAAATCAAGGCCGATGGAAAGAGGCCAAAGAGCTGAATGTGCAGGTGATGGAGATGAGTAAAAGCGTCATGGAAGAGGAGCATCCTAATACGCTAGTCAGCATGGCCAACCTGGCCTTCGCTTGGAAAGAGCAGGGCTGTGGTGTGGAAGCCCTTAACCTAATGAAGGACTGTGTACACCTACGGTTAAAAATTTTAGGCGCTGAGCACCCTGACACTCTGTCATCTGCTGCGGCATTGATCAAATGGCAGACTTAGAAGATTAGATCAAAGCATCCAATGATGCCGTGAACTGGATACGGTACTTCAGAACAGCGACGATTCCGGCCTCTTGAAGTCTGTATTTATTTTATTTCCAGACATCTTAATAAACATACGTCAGGCTAGTTGTAACTGCGTGTCAGTCTTATGCCAAGAAACACGTAATATAAGACTGGATCGAGGTGGTCATGCATATCCGGTACAATACCGTACATGATACGTTGAAGTGGAGTTGTCTTGGCACTTGTTCAAATGTAGTTTAGCCTCACTTGGAACAGGGATCGAGAAACAATCGAAGAGAGTCAGACCCCGACACCGGTTTTGCATCCGAGTGTATAGAGAATCAGCAGCGGTGCCGAATCTGTGAAAGAAGCTGTATGAGGTGCGGAAGGCAGGCATCAGCAAGATTCTCCTGCGCAGAACGAAGAGGATTTCATCGTCATATCAGATCTCCTGCAAGCGCATGTGGCGGAAATTCTGGACGTTCAGGAATCCTCGTGGGATAATGCGTTCAACAAGTGGCGCTTCAAGCAAAAGCCATCCACGTTTGTACTTGTACGTAAACCAATATAGCACAATCTAAAGAAATGGAGTTTATAAAATGTCCTGAGGGCATGTTGATTAACTGCTTCCTTGATAGACGAGGAAAAACAAATCGCGGATACTGTACTGCAACATCCATGGAGACGGAAGAAGATAAGCTATAATTAGCAAAAGTTAGACAACGTCGGATTTCAGTCATTTAGGCAATCTGAAGTGTTGAAGAGGGAGCTACTACTGTACATGTATCCGTGGATTTGTATCTGGCGTCCAGCAGTCACATCACACGTGTTAGTCCTCGAACACTCCGTAGTATCCGTAGATGCTAGGAAAACCAAGTAAATGAGTTCAGGCCTCCAGTTCACAAGGGTTTCGCTTACTCACTCCCATCTCAGAGATGCTTGAAGAGACAAGAAGGTGAACACCTGACCAGTTTGCTTAGGCACCCTCTGTTTCTTTATTCAAGTTTGTCTGCTTTCCAAGGAACGTACTAGGACATTCTGTATTGGTGGTACAAAAAGCAATACCTAGGTTTGTATAGTTACGTTCAATACTACTGGTGAATTACAGAATTTATGGACTAAACTTAGCATCGATTAGGTTGCGGGAGTGGCGTCGAGAAAGAGTGGAAGAGTTGCAAAACATGTAAAGCTTAGGACTGAATTTGCAAGCCTAATGAGTTAGAAAAAAGAAGGAAAGAGAGAACAAGGAAAGATGTATATAGAGGTGTTGTTGCAGCACTGGGGAGTGACGTACTGATCCTACTTCGAGAAACAATGCGTCTAACAATACAGCGCCTTGCAAGTATGGATCCTGGCGAGGCTGTCATCCTAGACAGGGCATTGTTCAACAGGCAAGAGTAGTGATCACATTTCTCTCGTTCTTGCTCCACCAGGAGCAGGGATATATGTACTATGTATTCAAGTATGAATCCATTTAACTGTACTATAGTAGACCTGTTCAACTATAAATCCGTTCAATTGTGGATTCGTTTATGTGTGGATCTATTTAAGTATGGATTTGTTCAACTGTGGATCTGTTCAACTGTGGATCTCTTCAACTGTGGGTCCGTTTAACTGTGGATCTGTTTAACTATGGATCTGTTTAACTGTGGATCCATTTAACTGTACTAGTAAACCAGTTCAACTATATGGAGTAGATCGGTTCAACTGTGGATCTGTTCAACTGTGGGTCCGTTTAACTGTACTAGTACACCAGTTCAACTGTACAGAGTAGATCGGTTCAACAGTGGATTGGTTAAAGTGTGAATCCATTCAAATATGGATTTGTTCAACTGTGGATCTGTTCACTATATGATGGCATTCATTCTCTATCCTAAGAGGTAACTAGTCGAACAAAAACTAAGCATGAGGAAAAAAAGGAAAGGAGCACGCTCAGCCGCGGGCAGAGATCACTTTTGTATGTGTGCGTATGGCTCTCGTCGGAGCCTAATCGGGAAATTGTGAAGATAAAGAGATATCCCTATTTGGAACTCCCTAGGGCTCAGGGCTCCAACAAGGAGCCAACGCGATACAGCCGCCAGGCCCATCACACACTAGACCTGTTTAACTGTGGGCCTGTTCAACTGTGGATCTATTGTAATCCTACCAAGGGGTTGAAAAATATATTTACTTATTGAACTGAAAGATTGACTATTATATATTTTGTAAACTAGATAATACGTAACCACAAGAGTAGCTAGTTATGCCCATATTTTTCAATACAAGTGTAACAACGTTACGTAGGGTATGTATAGTTACATTCGAGAGAGATCATGGAAGGCTAAGCACACAAGGTAGGGTATAGAATGTCAATATACTGAAACCTATCTCTTCTGCTTCCGCAGCGTGCATTCTATATAAGAGACATTCATGTTGTTTTACAGCAATACATTATTAACTATGGCCAGCTGAAGTATCTACACTTTTGCTACTCTCTATTCTAACCCTAACCCCTAGGATTTTTGACAGGCATGTCGGTTATTATAACAAGTGAGGCTTTTAAAACTTGGTCAGGGACTGTGGACATGTGGTTATACAGGTGACATTTTAGCTACTGAAAGACAAAAGTTCCTATAGGCAAACAGTTTGATTTATTAAACAGCTTGTGAGTAATTTCAGTACTCTTGCATATACTATGATGGGACGGTACACTCAGATGCAAAACCAGTGTCAGGGTCAGTCCTCCGTACTACTCTTTAATTGTTTCTCGAACCCTACGCCACGCGGGGCTAATCTACTTTTAGAAATACTACAGCACAGCTCCACTTTACCATATCACGTAATTTATACTGTATTTATCCTAGTTACGTAGTAGTTAGTATAACTGCACTCCAACTGTGAACGTCAGTGGGACGTGTAATTGTATGTTTTGTGTGTGTTCACACATAGGTGTCTATACAAAATGTGGTGCAAATGTGTGTATAATAGCTGTAGTGAGGGAAGTCAACCATTAATAGAGCCAAATTGTGAGTTTAATGCTGCCTATTCCATATCAAGCTTAGCCATAATATATGGTTTGTGACGGTGCCAATCTGCTTGGTTTGAGTACGCTATTCTAGCTAACTATCTTGTACAAGAGGTGCTTGTCGACAGGTAATATTAAGCATAAAGGGAAAAAGGGAAGAAATGAAGTAAAAGCCCAGGTTCTTACTGCTCATGTAAATCTCTGTGCAACGCGCCTTTCCCTATCCAGCTCCGACGTCTGATGTTGATATGACTTCCCAATACAGCACAGATAGGGTTACATGGCTCCTAGCCCATCACATGGTTGACAAAACCCTCCATACAACGTTAACTTAAAAATCAACCCCCTAGTAAATTTTTGTACCGTCCTAATAACTTAGAATCCAATAATTAACTATGACTTCTGTTTAAGCTTACCATACAGCCATTCTCGAAATCGGTTTGACTGACAAACAGACTCACGGCCAAGACATTAGTCTCAGATGATTTTTGAGTCATCTGTTTCAAGTGAAGGCTGCTGTAAGGGTGCTAGTTGTACTCTGTACAGTCGCTAGCTACAACACAGCTCCACTTTGTTGTATCACGTAATTTATACCGTATTCATCCTAGCTAGTATAACTGCACTCCAACTGTGAACGTGAGTGGGACGTGTAATTGTACATATTGTGTGTGTAGCCTCTCTCAGGGAAGAAAACTCACACACAGCTGTCCTTACAAAATGCAGTGCAAACATGTGTACAATAGCTGTAGCAAGGGAAGTCAACTATCAATAATAGGTTGATCGGGGCATTTTTTGCCTGGAGGAGAGTGGTTTTATCTCTTCAAACAATGAACTTGCTTCTCAAGCAGAAACTTGGGAACAGACTTCGTTGTATGCACCTACCCCGGGTAATCTTGACCGCCATACGCCATCTGTTTACTGTCCTTCCACAAGCCGTCTAAACGCTGAACGTTCGTCCTCCTTGCCTCTACCGGCCGGCTTAGGCTATCACGATGAAGCTGGCAATGGTAATCTACGATCACGTCAGGACGATGCACAAACGTATATCAACTATCCAATCGAGTATAGGGCGCTTGTCAACAATCGCAGCGTAGCTAGAGCTACTGAAAAAGATGTGGTCTTAAAACCCTCTTCATACTGGCAACAAATAAAGGAGAAGGCCGATCAAGCTGTGCGCCAGCGCTGGAGGAAGGCAAGCAATCGGCATGTACGGTCAGATGAGACTACTATTGTGGTTTCTGTAAACGACCGTTCCAAGCGTGACCTTACATGTACCGGACAGAAATGCTGCAATGTACATGTACCAACACCCACCGAGGCAACATATCCTTCTTCCTGGGAGGAAAGTCACCTTCAGATAGTCAGAACTGGACCCCAAACTTCGAAGAGGTACGGGCCTCAATACCGTTCGCAATCGCCACGGGCCGACTCGACGCCACTTAATCATATAGACGAACACAAATCAACCGCTCTTCCAACTCTAACTCACACCAACCACCTCGTGACAGACACGGTAGACGCGCTTCAACTGCCGAAGATAGGATGTTGAACACTTGAAGAAGCGCCTTCAAGCCAGCTACTAACAAAATTACTAACCCACGAGCATCCGCTACAATATTGACAGATGAGATGACATATATTATAAGCGATCATGTATGGGCTTCAAGGAGGCATGGCATATATGTTAGGACATGTATTAGTAGATTAGTGATACTGTAGTTGCCCTTTCGGCTTGGCCGCCGGGCGTTAATATATTCTGTGTGTGTAGAGGTAGAATACTCATCAACTCTGACGACGTAAATAATAATTCCCAACCACAACATTTGGCTCCTGCTCCTGAGGTGGTGATTGAAAACCCATGGATTGCCTATATTGGATACGATTTTCTCTGGCTTCCACCAGAATATAGATCTAATGTGTCTGCTGTCTATGCGACTAAGGTTGCCATCGGGTGTTCTTCGGGCCAAGTTCTTCTCTTTGAACTAGATATTTTCTAAACTCTTTAGTGTGTTGTTTGACCATTGTACGTAAAGCATTACACAGTTCTCAGAGGGCATTCTAAGAAACGAGAGTGCTTGAATAAATTAAATCGACTGATGTCGCAACTAGCCAGCTACTAATTGTCATCATCGTCACACATAGGACTATTAATATTTTCAAATATCTTTAATAAAGGAAGAGTATGAGATAGATGATGCTTATATAGTATGTTTGTCGTTGGTAATGTGACTATGTATTGGAACGACGATACGATGTCACACCTAGCCTGTCAAAATCCAGGCCCGGCGTGGCTTCGGAGTCCCAGATGTCGCTTACAGGCGAGCCACGAGCGCACCGTTCGCATCCATCACCGACGAACAAGGCAATGATGACTTGCTTCCCGCAAAACAATGACATGTTGGAGCTTAGTTGAGTAAGGTTCATTGCAACAATGTTGTTCGAATCAACAGCATCCGCTGATAGTCCACAGTTCATGGGCTGGAGGTCATGGCAGAAAGGCTTATAGAGCAGGACTCGGGTTGCTCGATATCGTAGTTTAAACATGATTTGTTTAACCCACAATTTTGAACATTTTGGTTGTTTAAGGACGGGCAAATACTGGAATTTCGCTATAAACACTTGTACAGTTATTTTATTAGGGGATTTAAATTCCTAGCTACTGATATGTACAGCGATCAGAAACCACGAAGAACAACAAATGAGTCGTGTCGTCATTTCCCAGTCCACCTTTCTCAACTGGTGTTTTCGTTGGGCTGAGGAAAATCGTACAGGTGTATTTCGTTTGCTTTGTTGGTATTTTAAACACGCTACTCAAGTTCAACCAGTCCATAGTAGGTAGGCCCTTTTCTTAGTTTTGAATAGGTAGGTTAATAAACTCTTGTCACCCTCTTCTTTTAACTTTTCTACTTACATGAAATCAGAGCAATGAGATAATCTATACTGATTTATCAAACGCACATTACGTAGATCTGCTAGGACAACGTCTTCCCTTCCAGGTACTGTGGATGTCACATGATTGTTATAGGGTCCTGGAAACTTAGTTCAGCAGCTCTTGGAGATCCTAAACAATGGAGCTGAGGTGAAAAAGTGTACTGTAGATGTACTGAATTTGCAACTATACAGTGTTCCAGCGGAGGACGTTCGCAGGGCCGGGTTGACTATTCCCTTCCTCTCCCTTCAGTCGTTTCAGGGCGCCTTGCAAACTACTGTATTCATTCCCATTCATACAGTAACGCAATGGAAGGGTGCGATAGAGGATACGCTGCTCGGCGGCATCAATTTTGGCAAGGTACTGCCAAAGGCTTCCAGAAATCAGTCTTTTGACGGGATGAGCAGTTTGTGGTTTCTGAGAACTCGGACTTAATTGGCTCAATATCATTCCAAATACTCTACATAACAAGACCGCTTATATCTAATCTTCAACTTTTTTAGAGAAATATTAGCCACAGGCCAAGATCCAAGCTGTTCCAAACATAGTTATGCAATAAAATACAATGCCACAGAAGAGTTTTCATCAAACCAATAATTCATCCATAATATCAAAATATGTATATAATCTTCAGATCAAGAAGAAAAGAAAAAAAAGGCGGTAACCTTGCAGGACAAGTCTCATGAATTGATGTTCTGAAACTGAACTCAACCTCTTTGTCTAGCTGTGTCTTGAAATGTTCCGTAGTTTCTTAGAACTATTCGAAGTAAACATTAGCCAAGGCGAAGAGACTGGCTGAAGGGGTTGCGAAGTTCTATCTTATGGACTTCTTGCGTGTGGTTTTGAAAATCGGAAACGTTTAACGGGACGAATGTAACGTTTCTCGCTTTGCAGATAGAACAAGGAATCTTACTGGTATCAAATGCTGCCAGTTCTTGACGGTGAATTTTCTCGACGTGATCCCACATCTTGTTAACGCGACTGAACGACGCCTCGCGGTCCCGGCGAGGTAAAGATAAATTAGCGACACAGAAAGGGCACTGCTTTTTCTGGTATTTGTCGGCAATCGGTTCAGTAACAGGCAGTTCAGGGACTGGAGGTAGTCGCATCAGCGGTGCAGCTAGCCTACCCCGGCGGGGTCTTTCCTGTCGGTCCTGCCATCGGATCCAGAGTCGAATACATGCTAATCGTCGATGGTATACTTGAATCTCAGTCAAGTTGGCTGGTGACTTGCAGATTAGATTGACAATCTCCTCTCTCTCCGGTACCGAATAGACAGGCGGTGTAGCTTTGGGGGACAGCGAGGGCGCACCACTCAGCTGTTCGTTGATGATCGCAGTGTCTGCATCACGGAAGTGTCTCAGTCGGTTCTTTTCTTTGAGCTGCTCGCGAAGGCTTGTAAGCTCCCGATTCAGCTTTTTTTCTACTTCCTTTTTGCGATCATAGATCTCAGTTCCCTCCGCAGCTTTCCATGAGCGATAACCTCGCGCGTGAATCTCCTCTGTGAGGCTTCGGGAGATACTCCTCAGCCGGCGGATCGTGGGTCGCTGGGATATGAACATTTTCTGTTCCTCGGTTATACCGGTTGGAGCAGTCATATCGGCGAGGAAAGTCACGAGTCGTGCTTCTTTCTGCACCGCTTCATTGGAAGGCCGTTCCAGGAATGCTGCCGCCGTGTCGAACTCAACCATCTCATTGATGTAGTACTTGACCGCATTAGATTCATGATCTGCAATTTGATCACGGACTGATGCGGGCGCCTTGTCTGGAAACTTTGGTTAGCAAATATCAATATGTAGCAGGGGTGGTGAAACTGTACTGTTGATGGCATTAATTGTGCCTCGGCGCCACACCTTCTGAGTGAGGTTTTCTTTCGACCCTCCTTTCTCTCCCAATCGTTTCTGATACCTACTCCATGTACTTGCTTTAAGCGGCACTTTAAGAGACGTTCGGTATCCGCAATCTGACCGCTCAGGTTCGCGAAAAATCGGAATATCCAATTTGTCACGTTTTATTTTTAGCTCTAGGCCTCTTTTGTGGTCAGGAATGTTCCGCAAGTAGACATCTTCTATATCTCTGAACTCAGCGACAAAAATTTCGTCATAAAAGGCCATTGCTATCAATTGGCCTAATAGGTCGAATAAAGGGTTATCTTCATGTTCAATCACAAACCGCTTGCTATAGTGGATCAGAAATCGATCAAGTAGTTCGAGGATGTTGACTTACACTCTTGGTTTCCTATCCTGCCCCTTGGTATTAACAAGGGAAACTATCGCGATGAGGAGGTTCGGCATTCCCTGCTGTGGACTACGCACAATGCGAAAACTGATATGTCTCCAGAGAATGGTCCTAGTTTCGTCATTGCCACCCAGATAACCATCATCAGTGACACTTGATATATCAGATTCGTAATCGATATCCATGTCAAAATCATCACCGGGAGTGTCACACATCGTGTCGACTTCGCTCAACCTTATGTCTTCCGAATTGGCACTGAAGTTAGTACGCTCCAACTCAGCCACTCTATGGGCTGAAATCACTCCCTCCTCATGAACAACATGCAGATCATGTTCCGCCAGGATGTCATAATTGTCGGATTTGGAGACCGCATCATCGCTCGAATAGTCTTCAATCAGAGACTCGCTTTTTCCACAATCTAAACCTTCTTCTGTTCCTGGGGACTCGCAGTCGTCAGTATCCTTTCGAGTGTCGAAGAGGGAAACTGCGCGACAGCTTGTCACGCTAGACAAATTCAGGCCAACGAAGAGATAGAATCGCTGTGCTTCATCCGGGAATACGGAGTCATCCCAAACCAAGTGAACAACAAGAAAGTGAAGTAGATCATCATTTCGTGATACCGGCTTTGGTTTTGGTAGCCTTCGGAGGCCCATTCTCTTGGAGACTTCTCTCCTGTACTATAAGATTCATTAGCAATAGCTTAACAGCACCTAAAGATTGATCAAAATCACATTAATACAATCTTTGATTGTAGCCTCATCCAGAGTTTTGAAAGTCTTGTCATAATATAAACCTTTTAAAACCCTCCAGTAGTTACTAAAGGAGGAATCCGCTTTCACAGAACCCCTGAAGTTTTCGTCAATCCAGTCAAAGAATGTCTTGATCTCAGCCGCTCCTAAGTTCTGCATTACTACTTCCGGATCCTCTCGTAACTGATCAAGACAGAACCTAGGTATGTTTGTTAGGGCCAGCTAGAGCAACGTAAAAAAAGAGATTATAGTACCTATTCCACTTCGCTTGAACAGACTTCTTCGACACCTTGGTATTATCCGCATCATTGGGGGGAGTTGGTCCGGCTGCAGCGTGGTGCTTACGGCGTTCGATAAAGAAACTAGGCGGTTTTCTCCCATTCTCTCTTCTTTGGGCTAGGGGTTGAGTTTTGGGTAAGCCTCTGTGATGAGGATTTTGCGGCTTGCGGTGCTCAGGCATGGTGCTGGGCTTCGTACTCTTTCGCTGAGGTTTGTTGAGAGACTTGGAGGAGTCTGCATTTTCTATTCCTCGGTCGACATGGCGAGACGTTTGCATTGTGCGATGTGTTGAGAAAGGGGTCATAAGTTATAAGTTGGCGCTTTGAAGTCAATCACGGTGTGGAACTCTGGGACTTGAGAAACACGGGGATGCTTGTCCTATTTAAGTCTACGAAGGGCGATAAACACGCACTGGTAGCCCATAGCTGGACCCTAGTCATGGACTAGATACAACTGGTGCAAGTCAAACGCCTTGAAGACGCTACTAAAGCGGCGAGTGGGTACCTCCAATTCAGGTAAAGTGAGCGATGCCTAAGCGGTGCCGTCGCTACGCGAACAGGGGTCCCAGAACCACCATTTTTGGTGGTTCCGACACCTAAAGGTACATTCTGTTTGGTATTATCTCTAGTTATTGTAGTCAACTTAGATTGAAGGTCAAGTTCTAGAAGCATATCCTCAACTGCTGTAGCTAGATTCTCTCCACTATGTGGTCCTAAAAGTTCTTTGAATTTAAGAAACTTTTTCTTAATAGTCAAAACTCTCTGAAAGCCAATGGTCGATTATCCCTAGAATTAGAAGGTGGTTTTTGCTTGTCCAAATGTCAAGAGATAAGGCAATTATTTATTTTGCAAGATAACCTAAGTTCATCCTTCAACTGAGCATGTTATATATCAAAGTCATCCATAATCTGTTGTCGGAGAGTATGCCGAGAAGTAAATGGAAGTGCGATGCCTGGGATATTAAAGAAGATCTGCTAAAATTCTGAAGATTCAATTGTTGTAAAAGGTTGTTTATTAATAATAATCCAGCGGAGGATATCCTTTTCTAGCTGTTGTTGGCAAGTAGGGTTTCTTTCTTTTTTACCCATAAGCTAGGCAGAGTTCCCTTTAGACTCTTGATAGGTTCAGTGATTGAAGCACTAGGAGAATAAATAGAATGCTTTCGTAAGAGATGGAGTGTCATATTTCTGGTAGAACTCTGCAGCTTTGAATCTGTTGTAATCTAGCTATAACACTTGCTAGTGTCTTTGTCCACAATAACACACTGAATATCCATATCTATTAACTTCCATTTCTTGTGCTTCTTTGTATACCACTCATGTGGAACCTCATACTTGCTGAAGTAAGCCCAGAACCATGCTTCCTTTTTAGCTATAGGTAGGGGATTTCGGGAGGTATATGAAATAATCAAAGAATCTGCAGCTGTTGAAGTTGTTAGACAGGATAATGACTGTGAGGTAGATTCTGAAGGGTTTATCTTGACATCAGGGATGCCAAGAAATGAATTGTATTCTGGCTGTGTAAGTATAGATAGAATTAGCGATTCAGGCGATGGACTTGAAAGTCGGATACAGATATCGAATATTTATTCGACCCTTTTTGTACGGCGGATACGAATATCGAATATCACTAGATTCAGCCGATATCTGTATTCGCACCAGCCCTACGGCCCCTTAGGCAATTGCATTGCATCTAGACTTTAGGGTTCACTATCTGCCTATTTGCCGGTTTTGCCTATACTATATCGGCGACTATACTATATAGTCGCTCATAAATCTTCGCATATACTATATCGGCAAAATATCGGCAAGGTATCAACGTTCCCGATATAGTATAGGCAGATTGTTGACTATATCGGCGAAACCGGCAAATATGTTATATAGATATATATATATATATATATATACAGGATATCATGTATGCCTAGAGCATTAGAGATCGTTAGCTAAGAGAAAGAAATCAAATGTCATTCTAGTTCCTAATCAAGTGCCCCAAAGTCCTTTAGCAACATAAGTGTTCTAATTGTATCTCCTGTTATTGAATGCCTGCGGATCCCTAATATATCCCTTACAACATTAAATAACCTCTCGACTGCTACTTCTGAGGCTGGGATTGCTAGATAATCCCTTACAGCTGCTGCCATCTGAGGAAATTCCTCCCTATGTAAGTGCCACCAGTTGCAAAGTCACTAAGGGTCTGAAGTATCTATTAGTCTAACACGAGGGGTATCAAAATACCAGTCAATGTCAGACATAATAGATAATGATGATTCAGGTTCTAACCATTACAGCATTCGAGATTCGACATTAGAATGAGTAAGATTAAGAGTGATTTGATTGAATATGTTAGGTGTTGGCAATTCACTTCTTATAGGTGGGTATTTTTGATGTAAACTATCACGAGTAACTTGAAGAATCAGATTGCCAGCTTCCTTATCCTCTAACTCTTTTAGAATGAGATCTCCTTTAACCCTGGGATCTAGAATCAATGCGGTGTAGTAGATCTCAGATTCATCCATAAAAGTATAATATTTCATATACTTTTTCAGACCTTCTTTCAATGCAGAAGCAATATCAGGATCTAATTCCTTGAAGGACCCTTGTAATTCTGAACTTTCAGATAGTAGATCGTGAAGTTCATAATAAACTGGGATAGCAAGGCTAATTTATGGTCTCTGTTTTAACATAAATAATGTAAGTCTATTGAACTTAGTGAGTATGCGATGAATCTGAGATAGACGTTCCCAATCACTATCGGTAATGGAAGGGATATTGGTCTATAATGATATAAATTGATTGATTTGAGCTTTAGCCTTGAGGCCATCATCAAGCATCCGGTATGTTGAATTCCAACAATTTTCCACATCATATTGAATATATTTTCCCAGAAGACTCATATATTCACAGACTTGCTTCCATTTTTATCTCCTTTGAGGACTGCGGCTGATCCAAAGAGTGAGAATGCGAAGCTTTGATAATGCTGATTGTGCTTGTATATATTTTCTATTTTGAATTCTATCACAGATAGTGGATGCTTCATTTGAAGTGCCAGATTTCAAGGCTTGAAGGATATCCTTGATAATTAAATCTAGGATATGAGCTAGACAGCGGATATAGCTATCAACTCCTTTAAACTGAATTTTCTCTTTATCCAAACATGTCTCACTGAGAAGATGGAACAATTCTGAAGCCATAGTCTCATTATTACTGATGTTATCACCCGTGATAGTGATTAGCTTTTATCCAAGGTTCAATTTAGAAAGTTTAGTCTGGATAGCAATGGCAATATTCTCACCACTATGAACTCCTTGAAGCTCAGTGAACTCTAAGACTCTTTCTTTATATAAGAAATCCTCTGTGAGCCAATGACTAATGATAGCAAGAATCGGAAGATTATTTTTGCTTGTCCAAATATCAATAGAAAGTGCAATTGATTTATAAGTCAAAGTTAATTCTTGTATCAAATCTTGACGCTGTATATTAAGGTTTTTGTTGGTTGCTTCATGCAATCGAGATGTGTCAGATAAGCTGGCTTTCCAATGAAGCCATCAAATGAAGCGATCAATCCGAAACTGTTATGTGTAAGAGAATGGTCTCAGGTTTACCCCATGGCCCATGGGATAGCTTACAAATCAGCTCAGGAGAAGGTCTATATAGACGCGGCTTTGGAACATGATGTACTTAGAAGAAGTGAACACACAGAACTGAAAGAATCACCTATTGAGATTGACTCAAGTGCTTCGTACGTACGTATATGCACCTTAGTGCACCCACA